AATGCTCAGGGATGTATAAATAATTCGATTTTTTAATTTTAGTTTCTATCAAACCAAAATCGCGATCATTTGGCAAAAGGGATACCATAAATTTATGATCAACTGTTTCAACATTATTATCAGATAAATGAACAATTTTTAACCATATTAAAACCGTGTTAATGTTACGATTTTGTCCTGAGCAGGCATCACTGTAAGCTATGACATGCTTTTGAGTGGTAATGTCCCGAATGTGCTTTAAGATGCATGACGCAACTTCCTGTGATCCTCTTGAGGCAATTGTTTCATCCAATGCATACATTTTAGCATTTTCATTGTGGAAATTATGAAACCCTAAATTATATACATGCATGTTGCGCTTATAATAAGCTACCGAAACAAAAAGTTTTGGATAAGAAAGTGCTTTCTGTAGATCAAATGTGAATCCGTAATATTCACTCGGGTTATCTTTTGCTTTTTGTATGTCATCTGTTAAACTTTTTCTCATACCTCATAACTTTTTTTATCATACCTGAACCGCTATCTGAAGACATGACAAAATTACTAATTATTTTGCCAAACTTTGTGAACAGACTGACTTATACCACTATCAAAACAAACAGTATTTGTTTTTTGTTTACCAACCAAAAAATAAACCCGTTTCATTGAGTTAATTTTCATGGCATACTGCTAAACTCTTCAGATTATGTTATTTTATTAGGATTTGATATGAAATAACTGATAAACACAATTTTTAAAATTTTTGACTTATACCACTATCAAAATCAAGGGCTCAAATATTTGCATATTCTATATTAATGTAAATATAACAGGTATAGAAGATACGACAAAGAGCCGGATATAATTGTTTTAGTTGTTTAGCCCATGTAGCTTGCAAAGTAACGTATAATCTGCGAAGTAACGTATAGCCAGCTAACGAGAGAAAGCAAAGCACTGAAATATCTTAAATATATTATCTATTTTATCTATTTATTTATTGACGCTTATGTAATCACGAAGCTTACAGATAGACAGACAGGTTCCCATATCTATTATAATATTAATTGTATTCCTTTATTTTTAACATACACAAATCCGAATCGCACACACGTGAATTTTCAATTGGACACTAGAATTGCCGCAATTTTGCATGTACACTCGACTTTTTTTATGCTGTCTTTTTTACACGATTGTGAAATAATATGGTCCACCTAGCTCGAATTTAATTTCGAGAATATTTCGCAAAAACTTTTGTATACAGCAACAAGGTACAATTGACGGAATGCTGCGATCAGAAGTCAATCGGTTTATGCCTATAACATGTGTTAGCGAAATGTGTTAGTTTGAGTTGCGAAACTAATTTTTTTTCCTAGTTTCAATTTAAATTTTTGCATGTCATACTTGTGGACTGAATTTTCACTATACTCTAATTTTAATTTTTTTTGTTTTCTTTTCGTAATGAAAAGGAATTGCTTTTGCCTTATAAATATGTAATATGGATTTCATTATTGGTTTTTTGTACGATTTTTTGGGAATCTTTTTGGAGTTTTTTACCATCTTACACGAATTTTTAAAGTTGTGGAACACATCACCAAATTGATCATAGGGCGCACATATTTTTTCACGATTGTTTTTTTTTTGCACGGATTTCTAAGGATTGGTTGTATTTATTTCCAATAAAAGGAATTGTTTTGATCCCCTCTTCTATTGTCAAATTGCCACAGTCGTAAAAGTAAAGGTAGGAAGCTGAAATTTCTGAAGTGGCAAAAAAATTCTTTGATCGATTAAAAATATGAAATTCAAAATAGGCGGAGACTGCTGATGTGCGCGCCTACAACATAGAAGAAAGTGAAATAACCTCCAACAAACGATTTTTTCATGTCTTTGTCTATAACTTTCGATCCCGTGAAGTTTTTTCCGAAAACCTGTGATCCGAATGTTCGCTCGGCTCAAGTTCACGTTTAATCTAAAAACGGTGCCAATCGGTTATTTGGAAATAAATTGGAATTAAAATGTTAGCGTTAGATGCGTGTCGGTTAGTGGATGGCAGGCTCTCCGAAATATCTTCCCGGGATCAAAAATTATAGACACAAATGTAAAAAAATGATCGGTCTCAGCTTTTTCTCTATTGTAAGCTTGTATGTCGGCAGATCGTTATTTACATTGGCAATTCTTTAGCGTTGTATCCATAATCGACCAAGGAATAGTTTTGCAAACTTAAGTTACGCTACCTATCTGCATTTTTGCGACTTTGGCAATTCGACAAAAAAAGGTTATCAAGCTACTTGCTTTTAGTAGAATCAGGTATATGTCCCCGACATCTCCAATACTTGACTAAACAAAAAAAAAAGAATGATTACAGATATTTAAACCATTATAACCATTTTCTTAAAGATCGAGAATTAACAAGGAGAAAAATTGCGTACCCGATAGTTCTCTAGTGGTACACTTAAATAAATACTGCGAATTCGAACTTCGAATTCCTACTTCGAACTGCCTATTTGTCAAGGCAATCTAAACGAAATTAACGTAAAAAAAGGAATTAAGAGTGTGTATGTATTTTATATCCCCCACTAATTCGACACATGGCAGCTTTAAAAACCATTCTATATTAATATAAACTAAAGGAAAAGCTTTAACTAAAATAATATCCAAAGAGGATAACAGAAACCATAAGCTGCGAATATATAAAATGGTAGCATTCTTGCACTCTGGAAACTTTTCCAAAAAATCTCGAACAAAATCAAATCGTCCATTTGAGAGATGCAAACAAACGCCAGTAGCAAGGCAGCAGAGGAGCAAGAGAGCGAAAAAAAACTGAAACAAACACACAAACAAACTGACGCTGTGGCATATATATATGAATGCCAGGCACATGCTTGTTTTAAAGTACGTGATAGCATCCAAGAGAGTTAAATGACAAGATACGCCAAGACATTTTCAAAATAACTGGTCAATAACAGTAGTAGCGCTGTCAATTACAAGCCGTTTAAGTGCTTACTCTTTCATTCTCATCACACGTATGAGCAAAGATGGTGTTAAAGTTCTCTTGATACAACGTCAGGCTGTATCAAGCTTTCACAGAGCGAAAACCGAGACAACTGAATGACAAGATGGTTCAACAATATTCACTGCTCAAAGTGCAAACTGGGACATCATTATACACGTTTTGTGTTTCTGTTGTCAATAATTGTAATAATTCTTTTAGTTAGTTAGCAGCCGTTTGACCGCCTATCCAATCGTTCCTATTGTTCTTGTTATACGTGGGCAAAAAGTCTGTTTATAATTTCTTTATATGACGCCGCATTCGCTCAAACGTTTGCAAAGCAAAAGCTAGTACAATTCTGCGTTTTCGAATGAACGTGCGCTATGTCATGCTTATAAGAATATATGTACGAAAAGAAGACGCGAATATTAGATAGCAAATACAATTTGTTTTAGTTTCATCGTCGATTTCATATTGAGGAATTGTAAACGGAAAAAATTGCCAAACGCTTCAATAAATATCAGTGAACACTTTCTATAGGAATATGAAGGAATGTTTTATGAATAAAAACATATATCCGCCTGAGCGGCCGAGTAGGTAAGAGTCTCGACTAGCAAATCAATCTCAAGCGCGGTAGAGCCGAAAGCCTTAGATGCTAATGCTTTAAGACTTTAGTCTTAGAATTTATTCTCTGGCTAAATTTATAATAATAATAATAATAATAATAATAATGAAAACATGTACATTTAACTTGTCTTCATTTATGGTACACTTGCATACACACATATTTAACATATTTTATACAATTCTCCACATGCTGCATGAGCTATTGTACGGCATGCGTTACTTATTTACTATATTTCATACTAAATGATTACCCAGAATATGTTCCTTAATTTTTTTTTTATTTAAATAAATATTGAACACAGAAAAATTTTAATACAATTATAATAAATGAGTAAATACATGCTAAAGATATTAATCTATAAATTACGCCATTTCAATTACTTTTGAATTTTCCGAGTAGTATAGTATGTACGCGATAAATCGACATACAATGTCGGACCAGAAATTTCGATTCCTTGCGCCATAACATCGTTAACGTAACATCGTCCAATAGTCTGTGTTTTATCAATAATTATTTACCTAAAACCTAATTTCTTTTCAATTTTTTTAATATTCTGGTATGTATAATTCGCATTGCTATTCGTGTTTCGTATTTTAAAAAATTTTTCCTTGCGATTTTGTAAATATGCCGCTTCGACGCTTTAAATTTCATCTTGTATAAAAATTGCGGAGGGACTGCCTATAGTAAATTCTTGCTTGGTCGTGAAAATCAAACAGCTTTCACAGCATACTTTTTTCAATATATCTGCGTAAACATATGTCTATCCTGAAAAGTATCTCTGTGTCTCTTTTTCCGTCTGCCACCTGGCACATGTTTCGTATATATATGCTACGCGTTCTGCTTCCAGTGAGCATACATTCACAATTTTCATCTATTTATGTTTTTACATTAATAGGTTTCCTTGTCTTTACGAGAATTGTTTCTTGAAAAGAATATTTGCAAAAATTTGGAAAGGATATATACGTTTTACCTATAACAATACAGAAGGAAATTAAACTCGACTGTCATCGAATCTTTTCTATACCGCTTTTATCTCAGAAGTAAATTAAAAAAAAAAAAATGAGATTTTCATACTCCATAAAATTAGACTTGTGTGGTCGCATTTTTCATTTTTAGAGAATATACATGAAAATTTTTAGTGAGTGCTATTGTGAGGAATGAGCAAAAAGGTGGGAAAGCAAAAATGTATCAAACTTATGTTGTATTCCAAACATTGGCCCATTTTCAATGCGAACCTACTTTCAATATTTTTCAACATTTTCTCTCAAATTTGAAACCGACATATTATTTTTGGCAGTCAGGGGTGTATTCACCACAGACTTTCAAACCGTATTCTCTTAAAATATTCTATTGATTGAAAAGATCTTTAAGTACAAAATTTTTCTTCGACGATAAAGGTTTAAAAATTCAGAAAAGAATTGGAAAATAAAGGCCCATATTTAGGTCTTATACCCATCACTAAGGAATGATGGTGTGTTCATTCACATCCATAGAGACACACATACGCTTCAGATAATCTATATATGCTAATAAGCTGTATATATGCGTTTGGTCAATTTCAATTTCGAAATCGTTTTAAACAAGTCCGTCTACATGTCTATGTAATGCTTATGATAAATTTACTGTTGAAAAGGAAAACTAGGATATCGATTTGAAAGATGACAAAAACATTGGAAGTCACTGCAGGCAAATTGGTATTGACTGAAAAGAAATCAAATTGATTAAGGGCCTTTCTCTCTCAAGATTCCGTTTATTTGAACTAAATGATGCCGTCGTTTTATAAAGATTGCCTATAGTTAATCATGGATTCTGTGATAATTTTTCTGTTTATTCGATGAAGGAAATACCTTTGAATAATTTGAAAATATTTCATGATTTCATTCCTTATCTGATATCTTAAACTACTTCAATTTATAAATAATGACACCAAGTGTATGAAACGTGAGCTCTAGCTTTTAAAATTTTAACAGACTCATTTACTCTTTGAACGATATGGAGTATTTCTTGTGTTTGTTGATGGAAAGTACTTTAAACGTTCGCTTTATTAATATATCTAAGGTATTGAGAGGTGAGACGTCTACAAAGATTGTCGCAAAATGTGCTATAATGTGAAGAATGACCATAAAATTTGTAAATATTTGCAACACGTTAAATTTTCCGATAAAGTTTTGAAAAACAAATTTTATCTGAATCTGATAAGGTTTCGATCGATGCCCGATATTAATCATAATTTATTAATGTCAAAGGAATAGATTGAAACGTTTTTATTAGTTCTTTGTTTAATTGTGTATTCGAATGTCAAATTTGGCCGAAGCTAAAAATGTGAGAGCTCCAACAGCAGACCCAGAATCTTACGGTGATCAGGAATGTTTTACATACTCTTTAACGCATATGAGCGTAGATTGCACCTGGAATGACTAAATTCTTTATTGACGTGCATATTTTGCAGATAGCTGGAAGGGTGTGCTCCCAATGAGCCAGGCCAATCCGTTCTAAGAAATCGAATGAACCGTGTGTTCAGCGCAGTTTAAATCTTTGCCAAATTTGCAAAAACATACAAATAGACATAAATCTAAGCAGGGTGTACGGATTATTACAAAATGCGGATACTCAATAAAGCCTTCGTCGCATATTTCCTTATATTGCAAACGAACTGGAAAAGTTGGTATACTTCTGTCTTTCGATAATGGGCATAGTGTATAATGGGTTAAGTGCACAAATTGTATTTGTCAGACAATGCATAAACACACAATTACGAATGTGTTCTGTTCGTTGGAAAAATCGTTTAAAATTGAGAACAAACACAACATAGTTTAATAAAATTACAAGACTAATCAACGAACTTGTATTTCTTTTCTCCGAATTTTATATCTAATCTTACACCGTCATTATCAATTTAACGAATTTACAGCGCAAAGCGTTTAAAGAACTTAAATAAAGCCTAGAATCTATTTTTTTCCCTTTTTAAACCATTTGAGATACTACTTTTGATCGTGTCCTACAATTTATTTCTAAATAATTTATAATATGGTAATAATAATACAAAATACTAAGGAAAATCGGAGACATACATGACCATTAAGTAGTTAGATAGTGTAAAGAACTGTAAACTACCTACCTTCTTGCCTAAGAACATGTAACTCTATATACGGAATGAGTGCATCTGCCCATCTGCGGCTTTCGTGAATCTTTTCCAAAGTTTTTGCTACTTTTCTATAATTGCGGTGTTTTTCCAACGGCTTAGAATCGAACTCATGTGGATATTGCACGCCTACTGTGCAAAAAGGGTCTTTGTTGAGTGTATATAAATAAGAATTTTCTAATGCAGTTTTAACCTATCCAGATGATCTTGGCAATATTTGCATATATATATTTTTTTTAAGATAGTTTAAAAGCGATTAAAATACCTATAGCGGAATAAAACACGTCCTTAAATCACCTACAGCATTTCGCTTAATACATTCGAACAAGCTGTCCGATCCAGACCATGTTCAAGCGAGCTAGCAAGCAACCGTTCGTTCTTGGTCCAAAACATATCGACGTAACAAATTACATCAAAATATCTCAAAAATTGTGAATTTAAGACGAACAGACGGACAGACACGTTGAAGCAATGCAAAAAGTGACTCTGAGCCGATCAGTGAAATGAAAGATGGGTCTATCTCAAGTCCTTCTTGGTGTTGAATATATCCCCACAAATTTCATGTCGCCTTGCACCATAAAAGGTTTAGCGTATAAAAAAAATCTATCTCGCCTCTCTTTTTCCTTTAAAAGATCGGCAAAAAAAAATTATCTTTCTACGTTAAGATTAGAATATTTAAATCTGTAGGAAAGAACAATATAAGCTTTAATATGAAGACCTATTGGATTGACAACTATAAAGCGATAGAAGAATATAATTTTGTAAAAGTGTCAGCGCTTTTAGAGAAAAATAAAAATAATTGAGCCTCTTGAATTGTCAATATCCTCAAAGTCTGGCAGAAAAAAAATTCCTCTCTGTTCGACTGAAAGAACCAATACAGAGAACAATATTGATTTTATATGTTTACTGTGCAAAATTTTCAATTTATTACATTTCATTTCAAGTTATTGACTGCGTAAAATACATTGTCATGCGATTTTTTATTTTTAAATGAAATAAATATGAATTTTAAAGAACTTAATTAAAACTGTTATTATGAGAAGAACAATAAGCCGGCAAATGACTTTTCCAATTATTGTGGGCTTTCTACTGAAGACAATGAATAAAATTATGCAGTATCTATATATCAAAAATATGATGCACGCGGCTGAAAAATAAATGTAGTGACCACAACATATTTTATAAACGTTAATTGGAGTTGTTTTGGCATTAGCGTAGAAGCTACTAATTCCTATTTCGCATACTTTCGTATATCCAAATATGACAATTGAGTGCAGTGCAGTCGATTTTTCTTTATACACTAAAATAGCAGCCGCAAGAAAGTTGCGGATTAATTAGACTTAGACGGTAAAATACGACAAACTACGTATCCTGATGCCACACTAAATATTAAATAAAGAGAAAAATGAATCGGGTGGAGTAGTGCAGCCGTATTTAATCTAATTTAAAATCAAAATATTGTCTATCCACAGGCTTGAGAATGGCATTAAAAATGTAACGTAAAACGGAACGGAAAGTACGGCTTTGCATGCCTTTAAATGTCCACGAGTGTCCCACAATCCGCTTCAGCCGTCCGGGGGAGTTTTAGAAATTTTATAGGAGACTCTAGCTCAGCAGGACGTTATAAGATGGTCTCCATTTAAGAGCTTGAAATACAGTTGACCACCAGATTATGGCGTGAAGAATACTGACTCCGTGAGGATAATTACAAGGAAGCAACTTGGCGCTTCTAAAGAAAAGTTTGTCTATCTGGAATTAACTCGGCTGTGATTGATTTTTCTCCACCTTCCATTTAAAAACACGAAAATATGTAAATTTCTTTAAGTTTTCACTTTATTGATATACAATTTTATTTACTGTATCTAACATGTTTTTTGTCTCATGATTTACTTTTTTTGATAAAAAAAAAATAAAATAAAAATAAAAATAATAAAATCAAAGCGTGGCTTAAACGACGTCATATGAATGTATATACTCTTCTTCTTGCTTCTGATAGACTATAATTAATTAAAATCCTATGATACTACTAATAAAAATATTGTTTTTGTATGCGATTTAAGATAATTGATTGTTTGTAATTATTTTATTCATGTTAAGGGTAAAAATTTTTTTCCTTGATTTTTAAGAAAAATTAAAAACGCCCTGACCTTGGCAAAAAAAAAGAACATATTAAAGACTAATGTCCCACAATTAATTCGAATAAATGAAAAGTCTAAAATTTTGCAGAGTACAAAATTGTATTAATATTCTTTTCATACATATATGTAAATTAAGAAAAAGAAAGAAAGAAAAAAGAACGATTCTTTAGCCTTTGTTTTTCTTTATTAACTATAAGACAGATCTAAGAATGGTTATGAATATAATATGCAAGGAGACAATAGTTTACAAAAATTGCACAAAAAACAAGAGTAGTTACAGAATTTAAACAATTAACTAAAAATTTTGTGTTAATAAAATGTCCTAACAAAAAAAGATAATCCCTAAAATCTAAAAAGATAGCATTTCGGGTTTAAGGGGATTTGCGTTTTGTTCGTTCCTTTTTTTAAATTTTTTTAAATTTTCCGATTTAACAGGGAAAATATAATTAGTTTAACTTTGTAGAGTTTGTAGAGTTTTTGTTTGTATAAATAATAATTATACTTCGACAACATGAATAAATTATCGAATAATTCCAAAAAATAAAAAGGCAAAATCTAAATTTGATACTAAACTAAATTCTAAAATTAAGAGAATAATCATTGTAATTACAACTAAATTAAAGTTTGCCAACACTTGCTTACTTTGGCAATTTGTAAATAAATAAAAACTAAAATATGTAAAAAAAAAAAAAAAAATTCTATTTGTATGAGGCAAAGAAATTTAATATTTAAAGAAAAAAAAATAAAGAAAGCCTATACACGACTTCGGATGAACCTAGGATGTTACCCACCACCGCAAGCAGTTTCATGCTAATTTTAGGCAAGTCCACGCTTTCATTTACAAATGAATAGCGAAAGTGCCGGTACATCGTACAGACAAGTTTGAATAAATTCAAAACTTTCATGCTAATTGCAAATCGAGTATAGCTACTACAAACGGAATGACAAAAGTGGCTTATGGAATCTCTTTTGCGCATATTTCCGCTTATAACAAGTTCAATGACGAAATTACGTATTACACACACTCTTCCTAGGTGGCAGGTGGTAGGTGTAATAAAAATTCAATTATCTACGGTTTTGTGGTGCTGTCAGATATTTGTATACGATAATCTTTTCTTTTTTCTCATTAACATAAGTATAAATAATAAAAACTGTAATTATCACTATTATAGATATATACTATTTAAGTATATGTATAGTATGAATATAAAACTGGACTGAATTCAGTATTAGTGAATGTAAGAAGGAGAGCGCGTGAAAAACGTTGCTTCTTTTCGCATTTTTGGGTGGGTTTTCTTCATTACTTAAACTGTGTACGTAAGTAAGTAACTAAATGGTTTACATATGGGTTGTTTTATGTTGAATAATGTGATCTTAAATACTAAAAAATATTTTTTTTTTTGTTTCTAATTACTTAAATAAGCACTTAGAAACGATAATTCTCATCGGCCATGTGAATGGCCCACATAAATTTATTTCTTTGAGTTTTATTGAAGATCTTCTCTATGGGTACACCAAACTTTTTACACCTAAAAGCAAAAATATCAAACTATATTTAACATTTTAGCTGTTATGTTTGATACTAACCAAGCTACTGAAATGCGTGGATCTAAATAATTTAATTTTGAAGTACCCAAGGCAATCGTCTTATTTTCATCTCTATCAGTCTCTTGAAGTTCTAGTTTTTTCAGTTGTTCCTTTAAACGCTCTAATTGTTTGCCTTTCTTATCAGCCATCAACTTTTCCTTAACTGAGCCACGTTTGGCTGCTTTCTTAGCATCCTGCAAATATATTAAAATCTTACTTTATATTCAAGCTATTTACTTTTTTCGTTTTACATGATAATCGACTTCACATTCATCGAGAGCTTCACGCTTTTGCCGTATTTTCTCTTTCAGATTTTCCATTGATTTTTCATGACTTTTAGGCACCGAACGTTGATGGTTACACAATATGGCTACAGCCCGATTGGCACGATTATAAGCTAATAACTTTTCCGGTATAGTCATGTCTTCCTTTGTTAACAAATCCAATTGATTTTGTAGAGTGTACGAAGCATTGTAGGTACGGAACACTTTGGCAGTGAGTCCTTTTTTCATTAAAGGAATAATATAAATAAAAAAACACAATTAAAATAATAAACAAGTCAACCCAATCTATTCAAAAGTAAATGTCTATTCAACTTACCTTCCATCAACTCCTTTAAATGTTCATTTAATACTTGAGTATTTAAACGATCAAATAAATCATCACCTTTCTTTTTATTTTCCATAAATAGCTCCAGATTTTTAAAGACTCTTTTCTCCACTTGAACTTCGTTATAATAACGTATCGAGTCTTTACCGAGAAAATCAAATATAACAACGTTTTCTTTACCATTTAATTCTTTGTGGAGCGAGACATGCTCTACGCGTAATGAGCAGCAACCGACTGTATCAGCTTGATCTTCATCTTTTTCATTACCCGCTCTTAGAGCCAACTTATCGATAAAGTAAAGAGCAACAGCTCTTTGACGTACACGCATTTCTTTCGACTTCCATTCATCACGATATGTTGAACGTATTTTGTCAATACTTTGGGCCAAGCGACGTGCCGTTTCGTATTTGATATGATCCTTTTCACCCTTCAGTTTAGAAGAAGGATTAAGCATAATATATTTGACTTGACCTTGTATGTTTTCCACCCATGAGGCCAGCCATGTTACCGTATTATTATGAATAACTTCTTTCCAACGATGTCCGGCTGGAGGCTGAGGAATCTTAGACTCCTTACCACAATTAATCGAAACGTCTTCGGCCTGTATGCGACGTTTAATCATACCCATCTTGGGATGTTCACCGCGGCCTCGAAATAGACCCGGTGGCTCTAATCGGAAATTACCTATCTTCTCTTTGTGACCATCAATAACACATACACCGTATTCTTTAATCAAAGCTTCATTCTCCTGCTTCTTGGTCAGTTTCTCTTCTTTGGTTGCACTTTTACGTTTCTCCGATTCGGCCAAGAAGTATTGGTGCATTTCTTGAAAATTACACTTTCTAAAATCTTTTATTATCTCCTTCTCCTTTGAAGTCATTGAACGACGAAAGTCTTTGAAGAAATTATCATTAAAAACTTGTTTCGTACAGTAATCGTGATTCAACATCTTGGCATAAAAAGTGGCTGCCTCCTCAGTTATCTCTGACAATTCCATAGGCTTGCTGTCATAAAAGAACCGCACATTTTTAGGTAGGCGTATATAAGGGGGAGCGAAAACAGGACCTTTATGTTCCAAAGTAGTCCATTTAATGCCATCGGCGCGCTTTTCTTCTTCCCACCTAAAAATCAAATTTTTTTTTTTAGCTTTCTTTATTCAAGTTTTAATTGTTACTTGTTCACTACTTTCGCAGACTTAAAACAACACTGATGCTTGCTAACAATAAATGAGTTGCGAAAATTTATCCGTGTGATTGCATGTGATGTACAGATAATAACATCACAACAGCTCTTTAGTAAATCAAAAAAGGTTATTGCTTTGGCCATAGTCAGGGACCAAAGAAATGTGAAAAAAAAAAAAAATTACGCAAACCACATACTTTTAGAAATACGTGAACATAACCTCTAATATTAAATGTATACTGTCCTATGCTAACAGCAGTTCGTTGGAATATGAATGAAACACTGAATCAATGTTGTCAACCTGAAGAAAATTACACTACGCTTATAAATAATGTGAGTGAGAGAGAGAGAAAGAAAGAGAGAGAGAGAGAGAGAGAGAGAGAAAGATAGACAAAGATAACCTAAAATCTGCTTTGTAGAAATAATGGATGAAATATGAAGAGGAAGAATATATCATTAAATATTTTCATATTTACCATCTCCAAACTTCTTCGTCGTCTTCCTTCTTTTCCTTCTTGACACGCTTCGTGGGGGAAGCAGTTTCCGTTTTACCATGGACCTCGGCCTATTTGTTTTACAATGCATTTTTCTTTTAAGTAATCCAGCATATAACTTATTTTTGTTACCTTTTTTGATTTTTTTCTGCGTTTTTCACTAGGGTAATCGTCTTCTTCATGTTCCTCTTTAACACGTTTCTTTTTCTTCTCCTTACTTTTGTCTCTCGACTCCTTTTTAGGTTTTTTACGCGCCAATAACGGTACATCTTCCTCATCATCACCGTCGAATGGCTTTTTACGTTTAGCTAAAGGAACATCCTCTTCATCTTCTTCATTGTCTTCGTCTTCCTGGAACTGATTTGATTTTGATTTTCGCATAGCTAATGGAATATCCTCATCTTCATCTTCTTCCTCTTCTTCCTCATTTTCCTCGTCGTCCTCTTCCTCATCTTCTTGCTTGTAAATGCCATCCTCACTGTACCTGGCCTCAGCCTTTATTACAAATGCTGGTTCATCATCCTTAAACTGAGACATTGAATAATCGCAAGAGCTGGTCTGAGAAACGTCGAAGTTGTGCTCTTCAGGCTTAAATTCAGATTTTATCTCGTAGCCTTCTTTATATCCATTGTTAAAACTGTTATCGTTAGATTGGTAATCTAAAGCATTAATTTCTTGCTTGATATCAGTAGTCATGACGTTTTCGTTGAAACCATTTTGTTGCAAATACGATTCAGTAGATTGCGATACGGGCTCCGGTTTAATAAATTCACCATCTTGACGATTGGCTTTATCATGAGAGGACGACGACGATCGTGAGCTGGAATGTTTGTGCTTGGACGACGATGATGATGAAGAACTTTTGTGATGGTGACGATCTTTATCACGTGAACTCGATGACGACGATGAAGATTTGTGATGATGGCGTTCTTTGTCTTTATCTTTACTGGACGAGGTTGAACTGTTGGACCCTTCCTTGCGATCCTTGTCGCTACGATCTCGATGTTTGGAAGAACTTTTGTGATGACTTGATGATGAAGACGAAGATTTGTGCTTATCTCTATCACTACTACGTTCTTTGTCCTTATCACGATGATGATTAGAAGCGGAAGAACTACCGCTACCATGTTTCTCATCCCGATCACGATGTTTATCACGATGTTTATCTTTGCTGCTCGACGATGATGAAGAGCTACCATGCTTTTCCTTATCACTACGACGAAAAAAAATAAAGTGGAAATATTACGTTATGTTATTGTTAAAAAATTTTTATTATAACTTTATAAGCAATTACCGACTACTGCTTTTATGATTACTTGACGAGGAACTGCTCTTATGATCACGATCCTTATCGCGGTGTTTATCCTTACTAGACGATTTGTGCTTATTAGTACTACTGCCACTTCCGTCACCACCACCGCTACTATAATGATGATGACCATTGCTTATGCCATTCACATGAACCTCAGTGCTCCCATTTTGAGCTGTTGATTGCTGAAATTATATAATCCATCATTATACATTGGCTAAAGAAAAATTATTGCCGATTAACAACAATTTGTATGCAATATATATTTATATATATATATGTATATATATATATATATATATATATATATATATATAAAATAATCTCCCCCTCATGCGTTCGATTAGATTACTAGTTAAACAAATCTACCTATACATACGCGTTTGAATTGAAACTAAGGCAATTTACTTTTAATTATAATATAACGAGAATATCGAACGGAAATGAAATTGGATCCCCTTACTATATGCAGGCCTACATTAAGCAGTTTTATAAAAAATGTCGCAAATATTTTGTTTTAAAATGCAAATATAATCGATGTTGGCGTATCCAAAAGGCTTTCGATGAATAAACATGTCTGAGCAAATATAAAAATGGTTAGATTGTAAGTCCCAAAATTGTTTGTAGGCAATAAGGATTTTGTAAACTATGCGGAAAACATATACGCAAAACGTATTTATGAAAATCTGATATCCGGACATCTTGTGAAGTCCTACTTTTCATAATTTTAAACAAAATTATTTTTGCATTCGAGCTTCGTAAGTTCTAGTAAAGTCTAAGTAGAATAGCAAGGCCATAATATACATATGTACATGGTTAATACTGATGCAATGCTTCACTTTTTCACATTGCGGAGATTACTGCAAAACTAAAAAACTACAAAAAATTTGAATGAAGCTCAGCAGACTTGAATGAATAGCGAAAAAGTTCGAAGCGTTAAAGCTAAGGTCGCAAGAACAACAATAAAATTATCATCTAAGCTCATTAATCGTCAAGTTCACATTTCATAAAAGTCGAAATTGCAAACAAAAACCACAAACACAAGTAGAAGAGCTCTTCATGCCTTGACTGAGTATAGCGCGAAAATCTTAAAAAAAAAAAAAAAAAAAGTTTAAATAAAGATTTAGTCTCCTGACGTCTGCAAATTCGTTCCAACCCATTTTATTCGAAATTCGCCTGAGTGGAGCTTATTTGAAAGGAAAGAACTTTAGAATTATTAGGTTCACACGGCCCGAATTCTTCCAAACAAACGAAACGCAAATGCTAGCAGCTGATATCGCGCAGAGCACCGTCGAAAATATCTAACTACAGAACAAAAATAGGTTTAAAGAAAGAAAAATATGATTTGTGTTGTGGACATAAAGTATTCCATAAAGTGCGGCATAAAGACGAGTTCTTCGAATCACCGGGTTAAGAGAACGGTACGCAAATATGAAAAGGAGATGGTGAGGTCAGTTGAAGTCGAACTGTGCGATCATAAAAGGGCAGGTTGTTTACCAATAATGCTAGGCGGGAGAGACTTGCTTATAATACTGCACAGTTCGCCTTGCTTTTGTGATGTTATTCCATTTATGGCATATCATTACCTCCAACAATCTTTATTGTAAGCATTTACGAAACGCGACTCCGAAACAGAGAAATGGTTACCTGCGATATATACCGTCTAAACTACAAATTAGGGCAATGTTAACATATCGATGGCAGCAGACTTGAAACCAAAGATAAGAGACACACTTGAAGTTAATATTACAGAATAGCTGACCTATTTTCCGGAAACAAGTTTCTCTTACTCAAAAACTCATTCGACTGGTGGCATTGGTATCTAATATCTGTACTGTAATACTGTAGAAATTCCGATAATTTGAACATCGTTTCCTTTTCAATGACTTTTTTTTATGGAATTTAGTCTAAAAGGGCGTGGTTATTTCATTTTCGTTGCCAGATGGATTGGGCGATTATTATCTTATTCATATTGTCGTAAAATCATCGATATTGCTGCATCATTTCTGAAAAAATGCAATTCTCAGCAATACAAACTGGATTACTTTGCAGTTTAATGACCAATGTCACACTTAAAAGTCACATGAATATAAATTTGCCATTATTGGAGGCCAAAACTGATTAAATATATATGTATCATCGATTAATGTTTTTATTATTTCTTAAAACTTTAAAATGTTGTATATAACTTTACATTTTGGACACGTTTCGGTAGCGTGTGTGAAAATTTTCCTGTGTGTATATGTCAAAATTAATATAAATATGCATAGTAGGTAAATCTATATGATTCCGAGATTTTTTAAAAATGACAAAACAAATCAAGTTATTCGGGACATTTTGTACATTTTTCTCGATGTTTTGCTATTGTTCTTTTTTCTCTCCTGCTCATGTGGTTGTCATACAAATGAAAAGAAAATGAAACAAATAAAATGCAAGGTAGAGCAGTGATATGTAGCCAGACAGTGAGACAAACAAGCAAGCAAGAAGCAGTCAAATAACAGAATGAAATAAAATATAATTTGTGTATGAAGAGCTGAGCTTGTCGCCATTTTCTTAACTTTTTGTATATATTCCATCAAATATTATTGGGTAAAAAAAATTTTTATTAGAGTTTATAAATAAATTATAAAGAATTGGAAATATATATATATATACATATATATATATATATATATAATAAACATATATATGTATACATAATACACATATTTACATGTATATATACATATATATATATATATATATATATGTATATTACATATATATATATATATATATATATATATATATATATCGATTCTATTGAAAAGGAATTCACGAATGAAACTGAAAACAGAACATTCTCGATTATCTTTTAAATCTTAAAACTTTTTCAATTATATAAACATAAAAAAAATTTTTTCAAATAAATTTTTATACTTACATTTTCACCCGTTACGTCCACACTCATTTTTTATGCAATTGAAAAATTTTCTACAATATTCGATTTGGCTTTACTCAGTTCTTAAGATTGATGATTTTATTTAATAAACTTTATAAGAGCACCTCTACTTTTTATATTTTAAATAGAACAAAATATAGGAAAAATTTTTCAGTCTTTTTTATTTCTGTCTTTTTTACTATTGCGACTCGGAAGAGTTCACGCACACATCAGACAACCAGCCAGAAATTGCAGCTAAAACGACTGCACGAATCCAACGAGTGATTGAAAAATTTTCAGTGTTTTTTTTCCTTCTCGTGCTACGTACAAAACAAACAGCAACCGTAGTAGTTTGTAGTAGTGGTACCAGTAAAAAATGAAAAAATTTTCCAAGTCCTTAGAAAATTTGAACTTGGAAAAATTTCTCCACTACGTGCACGAAAGTTGCGAAAATTTTCAATTTTGGGATTGAAAGTTTTTCTTCTTTTTTTGTTTGTCACACAAAAGGTCAATGTGGCAGATTACTCTTCTTTTTTTTCAACTATTCGCAAGAAAATAACTTTCTGCTTAATAGTTCTTTTTGTGGCCTTTGAAATTTATTTTAGAGACTTCAGATTTCACTTGCATATATTTTACAAAGATTATGGGAAGTAATTTAACACGTCCACACGTCCGTACTCTATAAAATGCACAAAAAGACAAAGTCGATGACAGCCAGTAACGCTGTTAAAGGCCTTCGTTATTTTTCTATAGATACGATTTGAGCGAGTTAGGTTCGTAGAAAACGCAAGTCCTCGCCGATGCGATCTTATGCGTTAATTTTACTTATGTCTTTAATTGTTAAGTTCACTTTAAGCGTTTCTTTGCGTTGTTTTCACCGCATTGACGGAACTTTGCTTCCGACTAATAAAATTTTGAGATAGACACATTGCGCTTTCTTCTGTATGCGGAGATGTAGATAGACAAAGGAATATTTTATATGTCGTTCCCTAAGAAAATTACATTTCTCTTTTTAAAAATCTCCTAGAAAATTATCAATAATAAAACGTTTTTTCTCAACTATAACCAAAAGTTTCCAAGATTTTGTTCTAAATTCTTGAAAAAATTCTTCACAGATATTTCCATTCATACTTGATTAATATAATTTTCTGTTCGGTCATTGGTGAGGCAATATTATTTTCAACTAAAACTTGTGATTGATTTTATTTTACTTTCAAAATTACTTCAAATAATTATTCCAATTTTTCTTTTATAAAAACTGCAAATTCAAGGCTGTGCATCTTGAATTGTTGTTTGCAAATGCATACTAATTATATTTTTCTCTTTTTTACCTAAACGAATGCACTGAAGTAACTATGAGTTACCCGTTTAGAATTTGCTGTGTTTAATGAATATATTTACGATAGGGTTTATACAGGGTATGCGAAAAATTAGAAGGATAATTTACAGGTTAAAAAAATGGAGTTAGAAAGAGCAATTGAAAATTTCTCATTCGTTCACTCCACTGAGCGCACGAACACATTTCATAGACTTCCTCGCCTGAAGACACTGCTTCACAACTACCTCGCGTTTAGCAAATTTTCGTTTATAAGCCTTTCGAAACAAGTAATGGATAAGTTATTTCATTGTAATGTTTTTAAAAATTCCCTTATCCGTTCAATTTCAGTTTATTTGTTATCCAGGAACTTTCTTTATGGGGGAAAAACATTGAAAAATGTAATTCCCTTTGTGTAAAAAAATATCGTTTTTAAAAGCATCAAGCAGCTTTTATATAGACTTATTCCCTCTCTCCGCATATACGACTTACGTAACAGCATATTTTTTTAAATTTTCAATTTTACTCGATATTGAATAAACCTTATATTTTTGGGTTCTTTACAGATTCTATACCATTTATTTCGTAAAGAAATATAAAGTTTGGTAAAATACGGTCTAAAAAATTACGGATGAACGTAATTGAGCACAGTTGACAAACAATTGAAATAATTTATCTGTGAAACACCCGTTGTTCAAGCTTCCTCGTTGAGTTGTCAATTGCCTATTTCGTTAATGTTATTTTCATATATATGTTTGTTAGTTGTAAGCTACAAACTAATCTATTTCTTAAGAAAACTTTTTAAAAATCTTCTCAAGTGTGTCAAAAAGCAAACTGTTTTTCATCAGAAGGTACTTAGATGAAAGATTTGCAACAAAGAAGAAATTCCAATGTCAGCAAAAGTAAAAGAAAAACTATCGCACATGCGAAAAGACGATGCAAAATATCGTGAATTAATTGGAAATTTTAAGAAATCGCTAGAATTATGGTTTATAAATGGTTTTGACAGCGATAACTTTAATGGGATCAAACTGTCATGCCTGGAAATATTAACGCATGGCCTATTGGCATTAAAGGTACAGAAATTCTAATTAAAAGTTATTGTTTATGATTTGTTGCAATACTTTCTTAATGCCTTAGCAATTTACATAAATGTGTATGTGTTTCTGTATAGTGTAAAGAATTTCAGCAATGTAGTCAGACAACTGTTAGTATTCTACGATAATTGAGTAATGGGAAAATTGTGAGAAAAAAAAAATTAAATTTGATACTGATATTCGAATGTTGTGAATTTATTTCTGAATTTCTTTGTTTACATAACGAAACATAAACTTTTTTTATATATTAATAGATTATACTTTTTTAGTGTAAATTGAAGCTAGCAAACATAAATGAATTCCTATTGTTGTCTCTCCTTTTCTAAGCCAAAGTTCCCCTGCATCAATCGCATCAATAACTTTAAAATTGTCTTTTATTGTAGCAGATGAGTTGTTATCATATTTTATTGTGTATTATTTTTAAGTTAACAAAACGTTATCTTTGTTTTAAGCTTCGCGGTCGAACTGACAAAGAATTCTACAGCTCCGTATCATTTAGTAGTGATAATTCAGAATTTGGCAATTTACATAAACTAATCAATGATTTTGAGTGGCTGCGAAATGCTTTCAATAAACAACAAAACTTGAATTTCACAAACAAAGATAAAAGTTCAATCAAGGCTTCTAAGTCCTTATCACATGATACGGAATGTAGAGAGGATCGCTGTGTATTGTTTTTGAAAACTTGGTTAACAATAAATATAGAAGATCGTTGTCTTAGTGACTGTCTGCAGATTTTGTTAGCTGATAAGGGCCTATTGGAGTCCTGTTATGATAAAGAAGCTTTTCTACGCCAGGAATTATATGCAGCAGCTTTCGTTATGGGACTCACAGCTTGGGAATCTCAGCAGCAAACATTTTTGCATCAAATTCAAAAAATACTTAATTCACGCGACCTTCACAAAAGATTCAGTTCTCAACCAAATTTTTGCAATTTGCCTGCCAAAGAAGACATTTCTCATAAAAATATGAAGACAATCACAGCTAAAGCTGTCACCACAGTACGTAAAACGAAAAGTTTACCTACCTTTAAGCTTCTTGATCTAAAATGTAATGAAACAAAAAGACCTCGTTGTAAAACGTATGCCAAATGCAACAGTCAGTTACTTTCTGAAAGTATACCTAGAGTTCCCCAATTTAAGCATAAGAATAATCAAACTATTTCGGCATCTACACCCGCCGCCTGCTCTCGATTCTTTTATGATGACATGCCATCTACCTCGACTAGTAGCCGTAAAAGTTTCGGTTCCAATTTAACTTTGAATTCCACAGAATCTACTGCAACAATTTCCGTATCTACCTCAGGGTCTTCCAATAACTCTACCAGCACCAAACGTCGTATTCATTTAATTAACACGGACAACATTAAAATTTGGACGGATCAAAATTGGGAATTACGCCAACAACAACGGCAATTGCTGCAACAACAACAGGCCAGTCAGACAAAAACCTCCCCGCTTCGTGCTATACCTGCAACAGCAAATTCGTTCAATACGCAAATTATAGTACCCAAACAAGCCAAAAGTATTAGCCCTATCAATAGTTTGTTATCGTCATTATTTGGCTCGTCTCATAGTTGGTTTTCTGAACAAAGCTTAGCGGAACAGCAAAGTCAGTGCAGTGAAAGTTCCCTGGAATTATCAAATCAATCATCAGATGCGTCACCGTTACCAGCGCCACCGCCTGTATCCCCTCTACAACGACCATGCCCCAATTTAACTGTCGGTTCAAGTGTCTTAGACAACTTTCTACCTACTTGTGGTAAAAAGTTACGCCCTCGGCATTCAGAGATACTTTTCGAATACGGTATTAGTACTTTGGATTATAACATAACTACGTCAGCGACTACTCTGCCTAATAATCAAGACAAGGAAGGATATAAAAGCCCATCGCTGGTAACATCAAAAAATTGTCAAAGTTTAACCAGATTCTTACAAATGTCTCACTTATCTCATAACAATACCCAATTGGAAAAAGAAAATGCTCATTTCCGTATATCCGAAGCAATTATAACGGCCATTGAGCATATGAAATGCAATCGTTTGGAATCGGATAAGCAAAGTAGAATAACTGAAGGCAAGTTTTAGTGAGCAGATTCAACTGGTTTTACATTTTGTTCTTTTGTTTTTTTTTTTCTAATCATATTTAGCTACGCCTATAGCTACGGACTATTTGGCTGCACAAGCACAAGCGTCTAGCAGTAGCATAACTTTGGATTTCCTAGAAGAGGAACACAAACCCTATGTTGAATTGGACGACGTGTGTATGGAAACGCTGTCAGCCGAAGTAGTTGGCCTATCCTTAATATCAAAATTCAATGAAAAACATTTACCTAAAGTGTCCGAATTAAAATGGTTGGTCTCTGAAGACGACACACCACAAAAATTGTTACCCATGCCCGATGTATCAAGTTCAGCCAACCCCGATGATCATATTTTACCTTCGGTAACACGAGGTACCAGATATTGGGCTCCGCCGAGGCAGCAAATTATTTTTACCGATCATCCGCCACCTAAGTAAGTCCAATAATTAATTAGTGGAATAAAATATTAAATTTAATTTAAAAATCAAGCCGTAAAGTGTTATTGCAAAAACAAAACTATCGTTGTGCTGGTTGCGGCATGCGTGTCTCGCAACAATATGTGCGTAGTTTTCGTTATTGTACCTACCTGGGTAAATACCATTGCACCGGCTGTCATCGCAATCAAATATCGGCTACACCGGCCAAAATATTGCAAATGTAAGTGGAATTATATTTTTATTCAAAATTAAATAAGCAATTAAACAGAATATTTATTTTTTAGGTGGGATTTTAAATGTTATCCAGTTAGCGTGTTTGCTTACCGTTTACTTGAACAGATGTATACATATCCTCTGTTTTATGTGCCTGATTTGAATCCCGAGTTATATGCGAAAAGTAAATCTTTACTTATAGTCCGCAATAAAAGATTACAGTTGAAATTCGTTAAGGATTTTATACGTACATGTCGCTTCGCTTTACGCGAGCAATCGTTTTTCAACGCTATACCTGATTATATTACCAGTGATATTGACAATTGGTCTATGTCCGATTTTATTGATGTCCATAGCAAATGTCTACAAAAATTCATTGACCAACTGATTGAGAAATGTGCAATTCATATACATAATTGTGTGGTGAGTGTACAATAAAAATGCCTTAATTAATGGTGTTACAAAATTTGATAATTACCTTATTTGTTAAGCTGTGCACCGCAAGAGGCTTTATTTGTGAACATTGTCATGACGATACGATTATCTACCCATGGAATTCACGGGTTGCTCGTTGTGATCGTTGTGGTTCTTGTTTCCATCAAAACTGTTGGAAATCTATGTCTCAAATATGTTGTCGCTGTCAAAGAATCGACAAACGTCATAGCGACAACAATATTGACCAATTGTAGCTGATAAATATAACATTATAAAGTTTTTTCTATACGTTATTTAATTTTATTTAAAAAAAAAAAAACCGTTTGTGAAGTATTAAAATAAGTATTAACCTTTGCTTGTACTGGAAATATTGTTATAGCGAGTAAATTATAATAATTTACGGTTGTTGCTGCTTTTTTTAACAAATTCGTTATAAATTATTACATCGGACTGTGGCCCGCAATAGCACTTTTCTTGGCCGATCGATTTTTTGGCATTCTCTAGACATCATTCTAGATTTATTATTTGATTTCTCTGAGGTAGCTGACAGCACATACTCCAGACCAACAGAAAACAATTTGGTCGTTGTAACATAAAATTTACCGGTACGAAGTTATTTGATGCATTTGCAACCAGAAGTGCGTTCGTTGTTTTATAGTGCTTACTTCAACCGTTTGATCCGGCAAAAAAACACGTGTGAAAAAAAGTAAATCTCAGAAAGAGTGATGATGGTAGCTCATCATCACAATTTTGTAATACAAAATATAAAAAAAACTTAGTTATAAAAAATCAAATCATTATTCCTAGAAGTCTTTTAAAATTTTTGGAATTATTTCCTAAATTCACCTAAGCTTTAAAAATATGACTTAAAATTGTTAACGATAAGATCAAAAACCGAAATCAATTTGAAGTCTGTAGTTTTTAGATATGTTCATTTTTTTTCTGTATACAAAATCCAGTTATTTTTGATAATGAATTGAGCTTAAATTGAGGCAAAGGTTTATAAAAATATTGCAATTTTACAATTAAAATTTTGTTTAAATTCTCGATTAATGTATCGATAATGTACTAAAAATTTAAATTTTGCTCTAACAACTTTGTTAGTATAACTTTTAATACTTTTGGTCAAGAAAAGTGGTATTTCGGACCATAATGCGTCGGCATCAAAAGACACCCTCATTGGTTACAAATGACCTTAAATCGTTACATTGTAATGAAAGGCGTCGAGTTGATAATTATCGTATAGAACCCATGCACTGACGCAATGCACAAAGCATGTATTGCATTAGAGATTATAATTTGGTAGCGTTAGTAGCCGTGATGTTGAAATTTTTTTTTTTTTTATTGTACAACATGTTGAATTTTCGATTTTATTTACTTTTCGCTTCAGGTGTAGAAATCGTTATGATATTATTGCTTTTTGCGTATAAAGCAAATTTATAATATTATTGAGTTGAGGTACAGGCACAGAAGGTAAATAAAAATTCAAATAATTCCCTGGCCAACGGTCCTCTCCGTCCAGTTTTAAGAAGAGAATAAAATTTTTTGTCCTGACAGAAGATTACTTTAATAATAACCGTTGTTAGTACTGATATTGTGAAATTTTGTTTCTATCTAAACGAATTTGCTGAAAAACGGAAGTCTCTTGTCGCGAATAGTTTGTGCAAAAAGTAAAAAGAGTGCTTCGGAACAAAAATAAAAGTAAACGTAAAAATATACAAATATTATGCAATATTAAAATTCTCGTAACTTTAGTTAAACTAAAAAAAGATATACAGTGAACTGCGAGTACAGAAATACAATTTAAATCTTTTTCTCTCTAGTGCAATATAAAATAAAGCAAAATAATGTATGAAGCTCAAAGTGAAACTATGAAATATGAATTCTGGTTGCAGGAAGGTAATAATTTAAGGTAATGCAACTATCACGTGTTATATACGACAGAAGGTATTTACCTACAAATGGTGATTGATTGGATATTATATAGGACACGGCGCGCAACTGCCGCTGAATAATAGAAAAGTATGAATGAAACAAACCCTCTGCTAAAAATGATTTTTCTTTAAATTAACTTATAAACAAATGCAAACGTCTACAGCAAATACGACAATCTTCGGCTTATACTACAAACTTTGCGTCTAATTCTCAATAAGTCTCACTTTTGCTCAACTTTCGTGCATTGCATTTCGTCTTAAATTAATAAAATGCATTTTATATCTTTTTTTTTTTGTATGTGTTAGGCTTATCAGTTTGGTAAATCTGCGCGCGCGTTGTAGTCGCGTTTTAATTCTATGCAAGAAATATTTCATTTTCTTAGTGTTTCGCTCTATTCAATTCTAAAGTATAAAATTCTTTAAACGAATAAAGTGTGTAATTTAATTTATTTGAAATATATTAATCTTTTACATGAAATTCAATTTAGTTTTGTGCAATCAACAATTAGAAGCCTTGGTAAAAGTCTCTCTTTTCTTTGTTAATTTGTGTTTACAGTTCGTTTTGCTTTCGTTCTGTATTTACAGTATCAACGAGAGTGAAAAGTTTAGTTTTTTTAGTCTCTTGTTCTTCTTTTTCTTCATAATCTCCTGTCGTGTTTCACTAGACATGGATTGTTTATGTAAGAACGGGCCCACAATCTGAACGATTCATCTCCTGCTAGCTGGTGTTAATGGCCGTGCTGCAGGTGCTGTCCTGGTTCCCCCAAAGGACTACGATGGTCATGTTCCAACTGTAGCAAGCCGGACAATGGTTTCTATAAACTTTTTACGAAGACGAGAAATAGTTTCTCAGATTTAAGCAAAACTCTTCGCTGCTTGTTTGATAAGTTTTGAAAAAATTAAAACTACGTTCGATGAGTGTCGTTATATTGAGCACTCATCTTCTTCACAAGCTGATAAAGTTAAAACTCGTAGCATGGCGTGTGGTACGTCACCCCCGAGTTCTCCCAAGTCTGATTCGTTGATTCAAATTAGCGCTTCCACTATGTCTACAATGAACGTTGGGGTTTATGCTATTGATGAGTCGGGCAATAATAAAAAAGTTACAAATAAGCCGGGAAGTTCTCCTGGTTTTAGCTATGCTGATGTCGCAATGGCGTCAATCACTCTACTAATAAAGGAAATAATAAATGCACCTCTCCCCCTAGCTGTTTGAGTATAAACGATGGTCATCATTATACGCACAAGCTGCTTGTGCAGAGATTGTCACCCCTTCTACATTTTCCTCATTTTTCCTATTGCAGTAGCCCTTTCCCGCTCAAAAAATTAAATGCTTCTTTAGATTCATTAATTCTCAGCAACTTTGCTTAATACGAGCGATTTACCTATGTCGTACTTAAACTAACTTACATTCTTAAATTTTCATTTGTTTTTATTTCGAAAACTAAATGGTGTTGTTAACGTTGTCGGTTACTAAGCTTATGCATCTTTGCAATGGTTTAGGGGTTCACTTGCAACCTTGATCTGTTCTTGTTGTGGTGTGCGTCTGTGCTAGCTGTGTACATGCTTATTGTTTTTTCTTATTTATTTACACATGAATTATTATTTTAAGTTACTTTGTTTCTATTATTCTTTTTTCAAATCTTCTATTTTCTTCTCTACATTGTACACTAGTTTTTAAAATAATTAGTATAAGATTTACTATTAGGATTTACTTGAACTCGACTATTAATTCGGCTTAGTTGAATTTCATATATAAATAGGTAAATAAATAATTAAAAATCAAAATAAGTTTATATAAAGCGCTAAACGCAATGACTGCATTGGCATTGTGTATTGCTGCAGGAACGCATACGCTGAACTATAAGCTATGAGCATTATGCCTTGTACGAACTGTCAAATTAATATTTATTGTGTACATTTTAATGTAGAACATATAGCTTGCGTAGCGTTGTGCGTGTACGCAAATCTTTTGCAAACTTTTAAAATTACTACCTTTGGTCGCTTATGATAGACAAAACAGTAATGTGTTTGTGAAACCAAACCAAATTTATGTGATTCTATGTCATTTACGTATTTAAAGAGAAAAAAAGATAAAGTTAATGTGTTATAGCGTTATCGATTTAACGTATTCTCACTTATTAATCACTTATGCTAAGTTTACACTTTCTTATATTTCCACATAATGTAAACCTAGTTGAGATAATCTACTTTAGTTATTACCTATATTAAATGTAATACCCTAATTAAGACAACTTACGTTTGTGAAACTTTAGTAATAATCAAGTTTAAAACTTCTAGTTTCCTTAAGCTAACATAACAATTTATTATATAAGTTGAATCAGAGTCAGAGTCAAACAGAGATATATTATAAGAGTCAATTTATCGGAATCTTTATTGTGCTTTCACTATAGTATATCTATTGCTATCTATTTTCTTAACATTTTTTTTACGGTATTTTACAGTATTATAAATATAAATATAAATTTCGTTTCAAAAAAATTTTTTCAAAAGAAACTTTTCTCTTCATTGATTTGGTCTTCATTGCACGTCATATAAACAAACGCTTCCCATATGATTTGAATTTAGTAACGCAAGTAAGGTATTCGTTTAACCGAAGTTGCGATATGCGTTTGGCGTTGTGCGTGGCGCAAGGCCACACATGGTGTTACAACTTATTCCATTAGAGTTGCAGTGGTAGCATTAGAGGTCGTGATTTTATTGTTGCAATTTCTGGGTACATTTTTTATTGTACAGCAATTCAGCTTGCATTATACCATTGCAGCAAAATTATATGGTTTGAATGCAAAATTACGTTGGCAAACACATAGAGAAAACAATAAGATACTGATATTTACTGTTTAATATATTAGCAGATTCAAAATCAAGCTATTTATTTTTTATTTTTATAATAAACATTTTTTCAATTAAAAAAATTCTCCAAATTTTTATTAATTCATTCTGCCAGTCACATGATTAGTTTTCGCAGCTGTTTTAGCAATTTTTGATTACTGGGAGGAATCTTTAATTTATTTCCTAATTAAATTTTTATTTAAAACGACTCATAATAGTGCAAATTTAATGTTGGCTCTGAATTCCACGCAACTTCGTATGAAACAAAAACATGCATTTTCGCTAACAGTTTAAAAATAAAATGAAGAGCAATGTAAGCAAAAAAAAAAAAATAATGCATTAATTGATCATGTAAAAGCCAAAAAAATTCACTATATGTATCAACAAAACTTGATATTACGTATGATATTATAAAATAACCGAAAACTTGAGTATAAAACTTAGCTTGTATATATATATATCTAAATAGTTTAAAATTTCTCTCCTCTTTCAAACTTTCTTACTTCCATATAGGTCAATTTGATCAACGATACTCTCACAAATTTATCGTCTTCAGCTTTCCGTTTGCAAAAACGAGATTTTTTTTCCAAGGATATTTTAAACTTTCAAACAATTCTATCAACGGATCAGCAAAACAATTTACTTCTACCCAAAGTATTTATACATATAACGCTCACACAAGAGTCAGACTTACAGTTTTGAATTTTCATATATTGTTTTCAGAAGAGTAGATACTGCCTGAAACCTTTTATCCCTTTTGCAGAAGCCTCTGCTAAAGTGGTATTTCACCATCATCCGGATCCTCTTTCACTGTTCACCTAGACGTTGAATTCAACTATTTGCTCGCTAAATTATTTTAATAACTTTTCCAAGTTTATGTAGCTTCTTTTTATTTATTTAAGCACAACGTTTGCACTGCTACATTGGTCGTATTCAGGGATAGTAACTGCTATTTATCTTCATCTTGCTATAACAATAGCTTATTACCTTTTTGGATAGATTGTAAATTAAATATGTGATGATAATCATAATAATTTTGCATATCCAAGTTTTTCTTATGCCAATTTATTGCGATAGCCTTGGAGACAATCTTCTCTTTTCATAAATTTTTTTTTTTAATTTAAAAATATCATTTAATATATTATTTAATTTTTTTTTCTTTTCGTTATCGCAACGAAAAAATGCAAATGACCGTTCGAAAGTCATTTGATGCTTGAAATATTATCCATTTAATCTTATCTTCCTTTCATATATACATCATTGGGCTTCTTGTCTTTGTAAATATTTGGAAACATTTTAATTTTGCTTCAGTGCAAGCTATGTAAGTAAGCTATATGTTAGACTTAAACACACGCAATCAATGTTTATTATACGACAATTGGCGCAAGATGCGCGATGCAAACATAGCTATTGTGCTGTACACTATGTTATATAATCTAGTATAGTGTGACTATTTCCATTCAAACAGCTGTTGTTGAAAAACCACTATTTTTCTGGCTGTACATTGGTGTTGTGAAAATAATACCGCTTGTGGCGGCTGCTTTTCATTCGATTGCAATATTGTGTTTGGCTTTCTCCGCTTGCAATATGCGCATTTACACTTTTCCTCTCTCCTTTTTTTTTATGCATAAAGTCATTACTTAACAAAGCAAGATATTGTTATCAGAGTAAATTTTTAGCTAAGCGAACTTATCATTAAGTGTATTGGTTATATGGTTTCGTTTATCAATTAACTCACATGGAGCACTTATTCAAAACTATGTTCAGAATCGCTGGCGAAAAAAGTCACGCACAACGAGAAAAACATTAAATTCATTTCCATTGTGAGACTGAATTTAGGAACATAAATATAGCATATGTTTCTGGTTTCTTTATTAAAAACTATAGGAAAAATGGTTGTTGATAAATCTCCAAAATTAAATTACTGTAACAAAGTTATATTAGCTCCAATGGTACGAGTTGGCACTTTACCTACCCGTCTATTAGCTTTGGAAATGGGTGCTGACATTGTCTACTCCGAAGAGTTGATAGATCTCAAATTAGTTAAATGCAAACGCATAATAAATGGTAAGAGGTGTACTTATATAATATAATAAGAAGGGATATTTTAGTTTATTGCTCTTATAATTTAGAATTATTAAGTACAGTGGATTATATAGATCCCTCAGATGGTACGATTGCATTCCGGACTTGCGATTTAGAAAAGCCATTTGTCGTTTTACAAATGGGAACAAGTGATGCCACTAGAGCTTTAGCTGTGGGTCAATTGGTGCAGAACGATATATCCGGTTTGGATATTAATATGGGCTGCCCAAAGGAATTTTCTATTAAAGGGGGTATGGGTGCTGCTTTAATGGCACAACCGGACAAGGCCGTACATATATTAAAAACATTGGTAGACAATTTAAGAATACCGGTCACGTGCAAAATCAGGTTCGGGTGATCATAATACTAATTATAACTTAAGTTTAATTTTTGAAATACTTTGTCTTAAAGAATCCTTCCCAATTTGCAAGATACCGTTGAGTTAGTTAAGAAATTAGCTTCCACAGGTATATCGGCTTTAGCCATACATGCACGTACTCGTGATGAAAGACCCCAACACAATCCTCATCCCGATTTTATTAGAGAAATTGTTAAACATGTAAGCATACCTATCATAGCCAATGGGGGTTCACGCGATATACAAAAATATGCGGATATACTGAAATTTCGATTGGATTGTAATGCGTCTAGCGTAATGGTAGCACGAGCAGCGCAGCTAAATGTTTCAATATTTCGCAAAGAAGGTTAGCTATATAACAAATAGTAAACGTAATTGCCCTCATTGTCTGATAAATTATTTGTTGTTTTCACATTTTAATATATAGGTTTGTTACCGATAGATGAAGTGATTTTCAGATATCTAAAACTTAGCGTTGATTATGATAATCCTCCTCACAATACCAAATATGGAATACAAAGTATATTAAGAGATTTGCAGATGACACCGAGAGGCAAAAAATTTTTACAATGTCAAACAATGCAGCAAATGTGGTGAGTGGCTTTGCTTTGATTGTTGTATAATAAAAATTTGAAATCGAAAAGATGTTTGTAGTGAAATTTGGGATTTAGGGGATTATTGTCGCAATAAGGAGTTGGAAATATTTAGAAGAGGCAAGGTTGGACGTCGCAAGGTAATGCCCGATCAGATCATCAACCGTGATCTCGACGACGGGGAAATTGCAACCAAAAAACCTAAAACCGAGAATAAGATTGAAATATCTGTCATTGAGGATATTATTGAAGAAAATATTTCCTTTTTACGTTGTAATTATAGTTCGGGTAAGGTTATTATTGTATATAATAATGTTAATATAAAGTAATGTTGAGTGTTTTAAAGATGTTAGACTCTTTCCGAAGTCAGTTCTTTACACATATGCCAACATACAAAACAAATTACCTGCTTGTTATGAAACAGAAGGTCAAAATAAATTGTTTCGTTCCATGTGCAAATTCGATGGAAAGCTGTATCGCAGCACATTTTGGCAGAAGAATAAACGTCAAGCTGAACAAGCCGCTGCCTTGGTTTGCCTTAAGCATATTGGTTTAGTGGCGGAAGAGGAGTTAATTAAGAATGGCAGCATTTTGAGATGATGTTAATGATTTAAATAACATTTAAAATTCGTTTTAACATAACTTCTATTATTTATAAGGAATTCTTAAAAGTTCTACAAATAAACGCCTGTTGTTAGAGTTTGAAATATTAAAAATGTAAGCTTATTCATCTCAAAATGTTTGTGTTTGTTTTAAAAATTAATATAACTAAATATCATCCATTTAATGATGTGTTGTTTTAAATTGCTGATTAGGTTGCAATTTCTGTGAAGGAGATGCCAACTGCTGCTTTCGTTGATTGTAATGTTGTTGATGCTGCTGATTGGGTGGCAAACGTTGAGAAGCACTTCTTGGCGGAGGCATTTTATCGTGATCTTCACGAAAACCATAGTTGGCTATATATTCTAAAAGACATTCCTTTGTAATAGGAGCGCGGATACTGTCGAAAACCGCTGAAAGTTTTAATACAAACATAAAAACTTTTTTATCTTGTATTCCTTAAAAAAAATAGTCGGAAACGTACACTTAGCTGTATTATAGCTGTTAGGTAAAGTCTTGTCTGTCCTCTCGCGCATAAACACCCACTTTCCTTCTGGACTAAGAGAGCATTCTATGATTTTGTTATTTAAGCTCTTGGGAACTTTCGTACTTTCCAGTATACCAACAGCCTCATCGTGACCACCTACGTATAATAGCGCATGCTTCTCTGGAAGCATTCTTAAAGAGAAAAAATATATGTATTTACATATCAATTATTTTTTTTTTTTGACCTTATAGTATCCTTTTCATACCCAGGAAGACATTTTTCAACAATTTTCAAACGAAAGTCGATCGAATTCATTTCAAGCGGCTTCCATTTAAAAACGTCTTCACACATTCCGGGTGTATAGGGTTCTTTCGATGGTTGGAATATCAAACCATCCGGTTCGTGTGACAAGCACTTGGCAAACTTTTCACCTAACAAGGAGGCCGAAGTTCTTATATCCCAGAAATCCTTTTTACGAATACCAAAAGGTTCATCGTTACGATCGATAATTTTCTCCACCATAGCTCGATGACGAGGCTCTAAAAAATTTTGCAATATTAATTATTTAATTTAAAATTTGTTCGTTTTAAGGACCTTACCAATAATTTCTTTTTGTATGCAATTTAATCGCTCTTCATAAAATGGTTCTTTGCCTATATCTTTTTCCCCTAATCTAACAACGTCGTAAATCAAATAACGGGGAAAGGTTTTATCTTTATACTTATCTAAAACCATCTCCTATATGATTAAAGTTCAAAAATTTTTCTTACATAAAATTTATTATAATTTAAACCAATGATCAACATACGCCATCGACTAATGTATCCTCCAAATGCTCATTAAGATCTTCGGATTTCACAAACGTTAAGTTATCCACTTGGAAGCAAGAATTATTTCGATCGATAAAATAGATTTCGTCACGCTTATTAATTAACATCATATACCTGCAAAAAAAAAAAAAAAAGGGAAAGTTGGTGAGTAAATCCTAAAGTAGTACGCTTCAGAGGTCTTATGAAATATTAATTTTTACGCACTGCGAAATATCTGGTTTAATTATTGTTCGTCGGAATTCTTAAGATTTAATACTTGTATTCTCAATGCACGTGAGTACATCAATTCTTAGATGAGATCAATTTCTTAGATGAAGTTTCAAACTATATTCTATTTTACAGACATTATAGTAGTCGACTGGTAAATTTGTACGCCTACTAAAATGTTGAATGCACATACTTGAAGTATGATATAGATAATTGTGACGACAATTTTAAACTGGTTTTCATCAGTCAACTATGTTGTCCGCATATAGCAGTATACTTATCTTACACTATGTAATCACGTTGCATCTCAAATGTTTTTATATCGAATCCATTTAATTTACCTGGTTCCATCTGCTTTCCAGGAGACTCGATACGGTTTCTCACGCAGCATATTAATATTTTCACGATTCATCGACACTGGCTGGGCACCGGGAAATCCGTTTTTTTCCCAGCGGCACATGTCTTGCACTTTCTGCTGTATTATGCTGAGTCGAGGCTGATCGTGTACCCATACTACGCCTGGAACTCCATCCATAAATGTGGCGTTCTCCACAAACATTTCTCGTCTTCGTTTTTTACGTGGCTTACCATTCGTGGACATGGCATTATTTGACTGGGAATAGGAGCCACCGGGTTGATTATCGTCATTTGATCTTTCATCGATTTCATCATCTTTCAAATTATCCGAATCGAAACCGAATTCATTGTTCTCGGTTGTTGACGATCCCGTAACATGTTGGAACTTGGAAGAATGAGGTGAATCTTCATGTGTCCTTTTGAAACCATTCTGTTGATTATTTGAATCGTCATATTCGAGACACCAATCCGGCAAGTTTGGCGCTTGCATTGTATCTTCCTCATCTCCATAGCGTTTAAAGAGCTCGTTAATGTAGTCTTGTTTGTAAATTCCGGGCGCTCTGGCCCCAGCGAACATTGTTAAAGCCGCTTCCACAGAATAATCTAGTCTCTCGACCATATACGATACAATTAGAAATCCAGTTCTGTTGAAACCGTGAGTGCAGTGGACGCCCACAATGTCAAGTGGCCTCTCGTTTACGAAATTATCTACAATCTCTATAAAAGAACGTGTTTGTTGAAGTGATGGAGTCTCCCCATGACCGCGGCACTGTAATTTGACATAATTGGCTCCGCGGGTCATGACCACAGATTTATCATAAAATCTTTTAGTGTTTGTTAGATCTATCCATAAACCTAACTTCAGTTTTATAGTTTTACAATAGTCAAAGAGCATTTCAGGTTGAAAAATGCACTCCAATGGCATTTGGTCTAGGAAAGCAGCATTCAGTGGGGTTTTGAAAGCAAGAAATTTTTCAGCAATTATGCCATCGCTTTTCCTAGGGCAATACAGCCATCGATTGGGTATAGATCCATGTCCACGATTGTGATGAGACATTTTTAGGTTTCTTCTATTTCAACAAAATATTGTACAACGTAGTCAAATTTTTTCTCGACTAAGGATGATGCATATATATGTGTATACACAATTTTTTATCAATTTTACATTTCTAACCACTTAACAAACGTATGCATTCACAACGCTACAATCAATACATTTTTGTTTCTTTTTCAGAAAACAATTTCATAAAATTTGTTAAAAATTTAATAAAATATTTTCGATCCGTTCACAGTTTATCAGCTTGCAATAAAAGTTCTTTTTTCATGTTTTTAGGGTTACCAATTGCACGAAAAACTTAAATTGAAATTATGAAAAAGTACTCGCTATTTAACGTTCACGTGTTGACCAGAGTTTTTAAGATAGTAGTGACATACGGTGCATAAGTAAAATATTCCAAGTTATGATAAAAAGCTATATTACGTAAGTGTATATATATATTATATAGCATACTACATATTAAATATATATATCGCATTGTCTTATGCGCTAAGCATAATGACTGGATTAGCATATTGCGCTATTGTAGGCAATGTTCATGTAATACTGTTTAATTTGTGTTATTAAAAGAAAGTTTTGAAAAATGAACACAACAGTAGAAACTACATAAGCATTAATGAAATGAAAACTTAATAAAGCGAAAAGCTTGTTCGGATGATTTTTTAAAGCAAAAGATAACAAGAAGAAAAAGCAATTTTTCGGAAGGAGGCTGTTTAAATTACTTCTGGCCTTCCTGGTATGTTCATACAATAGTGAATAAAATAATATTTAACATTAACTAGCAATTTTTGTTATCGAATTGCTTATTGATTTGTAGAGACATATTTGAGTGAGAAGCAAAGATGAACAGCGGTGACTCTTTAGTTAAGATAATAGAAAAAAAGTGAAGGCATATCCCGCAGAAAAATTCTTTAAGCACAATTAAACGTAAGCTTTGAGGCTAGGCAAGTTTATGTAAACAACATATGAAATAAATGATATAAAACTATGAATATTCTTTTGTATTAAGAAAAAAAGAAACAAAAATCTTGAGAAATTCAATATATATTTTCAGTCCTTCTCTACTCAGCTCCTTATATCATTTTTATATCGAGACTTTTCTTTTCACCCGTATTCCGATAAACTCGCAAGCTCTTCTTCTACATTTGCTTGCTCTTGCTCTTTATATACCGCTTTGATAAACTCTTCTTCGAACTTTTTTTTAATTTTTTGCATATGCTTTTTTCTCTACTTTTTCCTCAAAGTTAAATTTACTTTTATTTTATTTCGCTTAACTTAATTAAATTTAATTATTTCTTTTTCCTTCTTGATAAACCTGCGAAATTAATAAAAATAACGATTTTAAGGTAACACGCTGCTTGAATTATTAAATACACTATTTCGTTTGTTAGTGGAAATGCGGAAAATTTAAAATTTTACATTGATGCAATGAGCAACATAAGATATTTGTTAAACTGTATATAACCATGTGCATTTAAATTTTATTTTCACAGAACGTGCATGATGTACGATGCAGATGCAATCATTGTGTTCATTGTGTTTGGAGATTTTTAGATAGGTTTGAAGGTAATTATTTATATTTTATCCTTTCGAATTTTCTCGATACGTAAGAGCGGGGAAAAATGTTTACATACATGGGAAAATAGAGTGTGGTTTATAAAATGGTAAAATTTTCAAGTCATTTCATTTTAAAGCAAGTCATTTAAAGTCATTCATTATAACTCTTTAATAATCGCGATAGATACGTTTTTTACAGATCTGCTAAAGTTCATTAGTATCCACAGTAACAGTAATATTCCTTACGCATGAAAACAGAATGAGGATTCATTGCTTTTTAAAGCACGTCGATTAAATTTGAATGTATTGAAAGATGTGAATACAAATTGGATTCCGACGACTTCAACCGCTTAATTTGTTTTATTCTTAAATTGTGTTTAATATGTAAAGGTAAAACATTGCTGTTTTATTAGTCGGTAGCATATCGGCCCGCCTTGTATCAATTGTTTTCTTCGGTTTATTTTTTAACAATAGGATTGGCTATTGATTGGATTCGTACTGCATTACCCAGCATTTCGCAAAATATAACAACATAATTCTCTGTTGAGTATAATATTCACAAATGCGTTGAAAGATAATTATGTTTAGTAGTTGAGCTTCAGTACAAGAACGATCAGATTGTACGAGCTAGTTTTCACGCAACCTGACTCCCATATTCTTATATATTCAAATCAATCATTTTCTATTGATTGCTTTATCATGACTAAATATTATACAATTTAAGAAGAAAAGTCTGCAAAGTTGTCAGTAAATTATGAAATTGAAAGAGGTCATTATGGATCTCCTTAAAATTATCAGCTGTGAATAGAACAAGAGGCATTTGGGCTTGCGAGTTCACAAAAATCAGATGTGGGAGTGGTGAGACAAAACGATAATTATTACGTATCAACGTCAAAAATTGATATCCGTTTTTCTTTGTATTATATATAAATTTTGTCACCGCTTTCGCTACTCTTGCTATCGCTCGGAAATAAAAAGCGCTTTGTTTTATAGATGACGTCACTTCTTTCTAATGCAAAAAGCAATAACAAAATCGTGGTACTAATGCTATCTAAATGTAACCTCTAGGGAAAGTAAAGAAACAATTCAGGGTCTATGGAATCTAAACAAAATGAATATATCCTTGAGCAATAAATAAAACGAACTCAATTTTTTCCTTATATATTTATAATTTTTATAATAAAATTTACAAACAGCGTCTGCATTCAAACTCTGAATCGAATACGTTTAAAAAGTTTTAAAAACCTTATATGAAAGCTTTATTGGACCTTTTATGTTGAGTTAATAATTTCTGCTTAACATAAAAAATATTACACGGAGGTTTTAAAAAAAATCAAGTACACCTTAAAGCGTAATATCAATGCAGAAAAATATGAGGAATGGCAACTTTAACTAAATAAAACAGCTTTTGCATCTCGCTGGTAAATTTTTGCTTCATTTCCTTAAAAATCCTTCATTTTACCATGTCTTGGGTGTTAGTCAAAGTCGCCTTTTGTAACCTGTGCGGAATAGTTAACCAGTGAACGTTGAAAGTATATGACTTATTAAGTTGGATTATAAGGTTAAAGGTGTCTCCATTTTTGTTGACGTAAGTAGTTATATTGTGTTATGATAACTTTTTCGCATAACATTATATATTGTGCAAACTTTCTTAGATTCTTACATCCAAAATTAAGACGTTGTGTTCAATCTGTAATTGTATCTTATGCTAAGTATTAATTTGGTGCTCTTTCCCCGTTTGCTGGGTTAATGGTACTGAATGATTGAGAGTACTGGTACATGAAGGGCTGAGATACTACAATTATTCCATCTAATATTAGGGCAGTTTGTGGTGATCTTGGAAAATTGTGTACCTAGTGTGTACCTAATTATGATAGTGGGCATTTCCGGAGCGCTCATTGCAATTCTTGACGTTATATTGTGGCAATCATTGTTACTGTTTTTGAAATAAAATTGGGGCGTTCATGCTAAACCTCCAAAGTATTGGTTGGTGATCGTTCGCTGTACACGGGTCAATAACGTGGAATCTTATGGTTGGTGTTGTTGAATGGTTAAGCTGCTGTGGATCAGCTATTAGCGTCAAGACCTGGCAAATCTTTATGATACGGGCTAATTTAAACTGTAAATTATATCTGCTGAACTGGGAATTTTACATTTTAAGGGCGTGACATTGCTATTTGCGAAAGTGGCAATCTTTAGAGCAGAAATTATTGTTGTCACTGATATTATTATTGTATCACAGCTGCTGCGGCATCATGTTATAATATGTACCACAAGTGGAAAAGAGCTTGCCACACTTGTGTGAAAATACCGCCAAAGAATACCTGTAAACGTGGATTCTACAATTGTAGTATCGGCAGCCGAGTATCTGTTCAATGCGAATTGTGCTCACTTTGGATTCACTCTTCTAGTGTGTGCATTTCAAATGGTGGGTTGGAAAAAATATAGGGTTCAGTCTGCGTCATTTATCTGTACGCCATGCAAATGGAAGATCTGAGCCGGTGTCTTTTTTGCAGATATGCTTACCCTTGATACTAAACTCAAAAATATGTTTCCTTAACTTATTAATGGTGCGCACACAGGGTATAAAGAAGAACTAATCCCCTCTCTCAGAGAGCGGAAAACAGATATTTATGGCGGCCATGAATAGGCCAAAAAACTAGAACACAATACAACTGTAGAGGTCGCTCTGTTGAATGATCGGATGTGTGTACTATATGTAAAATCACACCGCTCAGAAATTATGCTATAAGTAGCACGGTTGATGTCCTGCTTAACATTCCAGATATTATCAAGATGTGGTAGTGATCATTTTGATGTCAATGACTAAGAACGGGCTGGAGGGTCAAAAAAGTTCAAAGACAATTGCAAGACTTATTGAAGAGAAACCCAAAAACCCTAAAAATCTGAAAAACTTTTGAACAGTTCAGCAGTTGACGATTCAACAATTTCTAGACGTTTAAAATGGCTGCCTTGCAAATTGACTAAAAATACCATTTTGAGCATTTGTTGCAAAAGTTGTTAAGGACACACTATTGTATTTCGAATAGGAAGTTCTGCCACACTCAACGCACTCGACAGCCATGGCACCTCCTGAATACCACTTGTTCAGATCGATGCAGCTTGGAACGGCTGGCACGCAGCTTCGCAAGGAAGAAGTGCGAAAATGGATCGATGATTGGATCGTTACCAAATTAATATAAGTTCTTTCGCACGATATCGCCATATTACTAGAAATATCATAAAACGTTGTAGAAAAATATATTCTAATAATTTTTCTCAATAAATGCATTTTCAATGCGAAACAAGTAAGAAAATTGCATTTAGTCGGTAACGAATCTTTTATACCCATCACCGTTTACCCCAAAAGAAGACAAAAGGAGTTAAAGAACACAATTCTGGTTTTCTATAATATGGAGCGGGCGCAGTTTTTTTCTTCTATTTTTAAAATAAAAGTTTTAATCGTAGAGGCATGTGGGCGTTGTAGGCGCATGTTTTGAAAAGTTTAGGTCAATTCCAAATTCTTTTGCAAATTTTTAGGCGATATCTTCATTTTTGCTAACGGTAGAATATTTATCACAAATACTACAAAGTTGCGCAAACAGAAAGAGGTACAGAAGAACAGACGGGCAAATTTAGGCGCATTTCGAATTTGGAACTGACCAAGAATTTGTACACTTTACGGGGTTTTTCAAGCCTGTTTTTCCGTGTTAAAAAGCTATTGAAAAAAGAATTAAATTTTGATGCACTATCATATTGGCTATGTGTGATCAATTTTTTCCATTTTTCTACAAGCATTACAGCATCATCCATAGAATATGCGTTCAAATTCTTGTACATTTATCTGCTATAGCTTATAAGTACTGAGGAAAAAAGTAATTTTTTATTTTCTTTGAAAGACAGAGGTATTCTCAGTTTACGTAATTCTGTACGCGTGTCCTTCAACCGATTTGGCTTATTTTCAATACCAAACCGTGTTCTAGCACTTCAAATTTGCTGCCACATTTATAGTCGATAGCTTCATTTTTTGCGGCCACGAGAATGTTTACAACAGACATTACACAGACAGACATATCGTCAGCCGGATAGACAGACAGACGGACATGCTTAAATCGATGTAGAGTTTGAGGGTGATCAAGAGTATATACACCATATGCGGTCTCTGATTTTACCTTCTGGTGATTGCAAACGCTTTGATAAAATGAATATATCCCTCATCCTTCGGTGACTGATATAAAAATGGCTAAAATTAACGGAAGCACCTATTGTATATATTTCATATGAGCCAACCGCTCAAGGCGTATCCTCTATTCGCGTAACACAGTGACGGTCAAAAAAAAGTGAAGAAGGCGAAAATGGTGGTGGCCGCAGTCTAGTGTACCCAATCAATAACTGTTATGGGTTTATCGACTGAGTACTCATTATTCTAATAACGAAGCTAAACTCTGCCCCTCCTGAAATTTGAATCCACGAACATTGCTTTGGTAATTACGACGCTTACCTAGTGTGCTACTCATGCGGCCTATTAAAAAGCGATTGAAAAAAATTACACTATTTTAGATTTTAAAGAAAAGCGAGGAGGAAAGCAAGAGTATATTGTGCGGCTATATAAACTTTAAATCAATTCTTAAAACCTATTAAAAAAATTTGATGTGTAATAGCACACAATAAACCAAATAATGGTTTAAACGCATTGCTTTAAATACACACTACAAAAAGTGCCTCATGAAGGTTAAGCAAGAGTTGCCCATAAAAATAAGTAAAAACATTATAGTGGGACACGGCCCGTGATTAAATGCCCTACACCACTTCTCATACTCAGACAACGACTTTTTCAAATACGGCGTTATATATATGTTTTCAACAGTGTTTGTCCTTGGTCCAAAATATGTCTGTGTATTAAATTTTTTCAAAATATCTCCAAATTTACGGTATGTAGGTTGAACAGAAAAAAAGAAGACAAGCAGACGGAGAGGCAAGCTTAGATCGTTGGAAAAACTGATTCTGATTTAATCGGTATTATATAATTATAAGGTGGGTCTACTTGAAGTCTTTCTACGCGTTGCATATATCCGCACAAGCACCAGACAGATAGTGTCGGGTATAACAGAAACGGTAAAAAACTTATCTAAAAAGTAAGTGATAGAGTGTTAAATATCGAGTAAAACCAACCAATCGTAAATACCCTTTTCTTAATACTTTTCTTTTACTAGGCGGTGTGAGTGCCTATACGCTTGAATTTGTAGTAGGTGTGACTTCAGCTCCAGAACAAGTCTATGATGACTAACAATGAAATATTCTAACGCTAACACAACAACAACAATTTAAAATTTGAAAACTTCTTAGGCGCTTAATAAATTTCACTGAACTAAAGTTAATGTATTAATAATGATTATTAAAACTTAGTTAAGATATTTTAAGACGAAAAGAAAAAAAAAATGATGGGAAAGTAACAAATAAAAAGGCATCAATTTCGCTTAAGGGCATGGATGGACAGCTTTTCTCATCAACGGACCAATTTTGGTTTTCGTATCATGGCAGATTGGACAGAACGGATTGGATGGATCAACAAAAAGGTAATAATTTACATTGGTAGTGAACATTTTATTTATTATCATGTAACAGAATAAACACAATAAATATATTATCTAAACTTCAGTGTGATCGGGAGAACATTACCGGATTCATTATCGCATCACAGCATAGTTTTTAATTATTTAACTGCAATTCTAGATTTGATTTTATTTTTTATTTATTTATTTTTTTTTAATCGCTCAGCTGATATCCCCTATTTGTGTAACATTGTGACCGTGGAGGAAAAAGAAAATAACAGAAGCAGATAGTTGCGGCGACCTAGTGGCTGTGTGCCGAATCGACAAGTGTTATGCCTTTACCGCTGCGACTGAGCTGTGTACGACCAAAGCAAACTCTATCGCATTCCGATTTGAATTCTCGGACACAGACTTGGTAGTTGTGAGACACACCTACTTTATTCTAACTAATTTTAATCGAAGCTGACTGTCTTCCATAATTGGAAGTTCTAAGCAAAAAAATAATGGAATGATATAAAAGCCCTTGCCAGCTAGAACGTCACCTATGTACATGTTTGGTATAAACAACTTTACGAAATCTGAAGAACTTAACAAGCGAGCCTCTTTCCTTTTTTTTTTTTTTTTTTTTTTGTGGTTTGCTTATCAGTTTTTTAGCGTTTCTGTGTTGTCTTTGGCAATAATCAATAATAGTTTCCATCGTAAGCAAGCGATTTGAGATAAGAAAGAAGCAGCCATTTAGAAAATTCTGCATTAGAAAAACAGAAAACGAGATAAATATTGGGAGCTAACCTAACAATAAGAACATAAGAGACACCTAAACTGAGCACTTTTTATATTTCGGTTTTACCAATTTTAAAGTAGCACTGTATGTCAAATGTAATTTACAAAATTTTCGTCTATTGCAGAGATAGTTGCCGAAGCATACGAATCATGACTCTTTTAAATGCCGATCTACGGCCAGTATTTGCGAATATTTTTGACAAGCTCTAGCCTTTCGTTTAAACATTTCCGAGAAAGTGAAAATTCCAATAATAACTCATGGGTAAATAAATAAGAATAAGGAAGGATGGGCCAATGGACATAATTAAACCGGCCTTAACAGATTACTGATGCATCTATCTTGCATTAGTTTTTTATTTCCCATAATATATGCCTTCGTACAAGTGAGAAATTTCGCATTTTATGCAACGTTACCTGTGCTTGATAGCACGTTTATAATAACGTTGAATAACTTTAAATATTAAGTGATCTCAATATGATTATTTTCTATTTACGATATCCGGGATTAGGTTTCCGGTGTTTATAATTAACAATAATCGATGTTTAATATTTATTGCAAAATTGCAAAATGTTTGTGTGCATGTGTAAAGAAATTTCTAATTGAATTTTTGTTTTAAATGGAATTTTTTTTTATGTTAATTGACTCCCGTTGAACTTATGTTTATCAATAAATAAACAATAGCGCATATGGATAATAATAATAATTGATTTTTGGCGACTGCATTATACGAATACATTAGACACAACTATTTTTTTCAACTCTTTCAAGTGAATTTTTCCTGTTACAGCCATATTTCTCACCAAAAATTTTTGCACAATTCTTTTACAATTGCAATGGCATGAGGATGAATTGAGAGAGAACCTTATGAAAGAAAGATTTGCATATCATTATTATTATTTTAAAGATAAAATCTTTTAGTCTTGCTTCAGGTCATTAAGTGTTAAAACATGCGTGAATGAATACGTTTCTAAGAATAAAGAAATTCCGGTTGAAAATATTCAAAAATAATTTAAGGATTTTTTTTTGCTTATTTATTTGCTTATTTATTAGTGCTAAAAAAAAGGAAAACTTAATTCCATACCGCATTACCTATATAAATATATATATAGATGAGTCATCTAACGAATAACTAATTTGTGCATATATATAGATATATAGATATTTATATTTATAAAATTTTATGTTTATCGAAAATGTCGGTGGAGATGAAAGTAACTGTCACTGCAATGGATCGAGAAGCAGTTGATAAAATTGTTAGTTTCAATAATCAATTAAAGGTGCCTGGAAGAAAACGTTCCAGTTCAATAGTTGACGATGAAATTATACAAAAAAATCTTAGGGAACTAATGGATAAGAAAAATCGCGTGAGTTCATTCAAATTCAAATTTTTTTTTACTTCTTAGATACACAATGATTTTTGTTTTAATCTAAACTATGGGAAAGGGAAAACCTTTAGTAGGGCTTTTTTATAATTCGTATGAAAATTTTGTTGCAAAAAAAAAAAAGAAATTGTAGCTAGTGGTAGCAGTGCTCGCCATTGTATATCACTATCAAGTCCCATTATCCGTGTGGAGAGTCGAGTAGGTAAAAATCGCTCCTACCCTGTCTGCATTCGTGCATTCAAATCTTAATGCGATAGACTTTACTTTGACTCAATTAAGTCGTAATCACTTACTAATTGGGCATGCACCGGCTCGGCTGCGGCCATCACCTGCTATGCTGCCTATTTCTTTCTCTTTCTTCACTTCTTTCCGATTTTTACCGCACTACACGAATACGAAACGTCCCCTGAATGATTGATCAGGAAATAAAAAAAAAAATTAAATTTGCTAAGAAAGAAGTGAAATGTGTAGTCAACCAGTTCAGAAAGTGTATAGAAAACAGTTGATTTGTATAAATACATTATAATGGAGTTTTGCCGAATGCCGCTTAGGCTGCGTAGGCCGCTGACCAATTTTTTTCTTTTAATCGATGAAACTAACGCATTAGATTGCGTTGGACAGTTAGTGAGTGAGAGTCAATACGATCTTTTACGCAGTTCACGTCTTTCTCGGAATATGCCACGTCTAGAATTTAAGAATGGTGTATAATCGGGTAGCGAGGCAATGTAAACGATGGTCGCAATACTTCCTTTAGTGCTTGCGCGGCTACACTTTGCTATTTTCATGTATTCTTTTTAATGAGACTTCTCATAAAAACTGTTTTCCAGATGGGAGATATTTCTCCTGAACAATGTTTTCCTTTATATTTACTATAAACATTTAGACGGTAAGTTAAGAAAACCTATTTTACACTTTTCGTTTAACGAAGGTGTCTTTCTTCATTTTCTTTTGTTTTAATGCATTTATCACAATATTTATGTACTTTGCGCAATTTTTAATTAAATTTGTTTTGTTTTAAATCGTTGTTTATCGATGTTTTAAAATTTCTTTAGAAAACTTGAACTAAATAAAATGTTTACAATAAATTGAATGTAAATGGTAGGCACATGTGTAGAAATGCAGAATTTTTAATAAAAACAACTACGAAAACTATATCCGTCTTAATTGGCCATTATATGCCAAACATATATAAGAAAATAGGTAAATATCCTAAGAATGTTCCGATAATCAGGACATTACTGAGGGACTTGTGGAATTGTCAAGCAGATTTGCTTGGTCGACAAGACTAAAAGCTTATCTATATCTAGGAATCTATTTGTATGTAGAATTAGCCTGTCAATGGGTAGTGTGATATAATTCTCATCTTGTGATATAATTCTCATCTGACAGGCTACCGGCAAAAGCTCACTAGGAAAGCGGCAAGAGGTTATTTATCAAAATGTCGCATATTTGATTCATTTAACCGTTTAATATATAAGAACACTTTAACGTTGTATGCTATAACAATATTTTTTTAAAAGTTTCGTTTTTCCACTTTTTAAACATCATAAGTCTAGCGCATACGCATTCACATTTGATCTGTGAATCTAAACTTAGAACATAACTGGCTCAGTTAACAGTTCAGTATCTCAATTTTTGCGGCTCTGATTAGCAGGAATATAGACGATATTCAAATAAAGAGGAATAGACGAACATTACTAAGAATGGTCAGAGTCTGAACCGAATCGGAAATATATGGTGTATTCGGTCTTCAAACAGATTGACAAATTTAATATATTCGTATATTCGTTACGGTCATAAGTCGAAAATTTTTTATATCTCTGAGATTGAGTCACCAAAACTAGAAGTAATTGGAACTCTGCTTTTAACCTTAATCATCAAATCATTAATCAAAAAATATATGTATAAGTTTGCACTTTTCATCACAAATTACGTTAATGAAATTTCCAATGACAGACAACTTAGCTAAACTGTGAAACGAAGTTGAAATGATCCAGTGTGATCCAGAGACATCGACCAAGAATATAATGTCTCGGAACCGCATTTACTTTCGGGAATTATTTCATACAAGCTTTCTAGTGTTTTTCTCAGGTTTTCAGTTCGTAATTATCTACTATTGAATTACTTGATAGAGCTGGAATCATGACTGAGCATCTATTACTAAAAACATTATTCAGTTACATCAAGTTTACGTGGATTACAGCTAATTTGTTGTCGTTACAATCCTCTCTATGCAAACTTCAGTTAGTGGTTAGCCTTCATGCCGATAGAGTGTTAATGTAAAGAAAATAGGAACGTAGGGAGGGGTGGCAGATGATGGTGTTCCTAATGATAGTGAATTTATCTACTACGCGATAATCTCCCGCATATGATTTCAATGAGATATCGTGGCCAGTCACACAAACACGCAGTCCATCACTTAGCAAATACATCGAGTTATTGAAATAAAGAAAAAAAGTGAAAGACAGATAGACGCCTTTACTCTTACATGTAATGTTTAAAAATTTTTTTAAAAATATTTAGGAAAGTAAAAAATAAAATGACGACTTTCTCTCGAATTTTTCCCATCTTCTCTTTTACAGGAAGAACGCAAAGCCAATGGACGTTTGGTAGCAGTAATATTAGCTTCATTGGTAATATTTTTAGCAATATATCATGCCTGGATACGTAAGTCCGGCTTATTAGCTGGCATATTGGTGCCTGCCGTCATAATGATTTCTTTTGGCGGCTGGGTAGTTGTCTTAACTAAACGCGATAAAGCAAGACGTGCTTTATTTGTAAGTTAGAAAACAAACCAATTATTTGTCTAACATTTGTATAGCATTTTATTTATTTTTTATTTATTGCTTAGGAGAAATATCTAGAAGAAGTTGCTATGAAAAATAAACGAGAATTGGAAGCTAAAGCTAAATTAAAACAATTTAAAAAAACCGGCGATAAACGTAGACTATCCAAAGATACAATATCGCTACATTACGAAAACGAATTGAATAAAGAAAAATCCAATAATAATACATTATTGCAGCCACTTGAATTTGCAAATATTGTCGTTACAAGTGCTACACGGCATGAGCATCCTAAACATCGTAAACACCGAGAGCAGTTACTGTTGGGTCAAAATGCTGCTAAGGCTTCTCATTATGCAACGAAAGATTTGCGTTTCAAAAGACCCAGTTTACGACAGAAATTATTCGGTTCAAAGGGAGTATATCAAATGCAGCAGCAACAAAAGCAACAGCAACAACAGAGTCGAAAAATATCATTTACGATATCAAAGACGAAAAATCAACAAAATGATCCGAAAACGTTGACGCAATTAAAACGTAAACGTTTACAACGTCACAATGCCCTAATTGTACCGACCATGGTACGCACAAGTTCTGCCCCATGATTTTTTATACGTCGCGTTTGCCTACTGCAGCAAACGTTGCTTAAACGTTCCTTACATTGAACGGGAAATCACATAAAGGAAAGTCGTTAAATCTGAAATGTTTACATTTTAAAAATAAAAATGTGTTTATGAGTTTTTTATACTGATACTGGGTACGTGCGTTACTTTTATGATCTTTTTTTTCTTATTTTGTTTTGTTCTTTCTTGTTTCTGGGTCGCAATTATAATTTTTAGTTATATTTCTCTTCTTTCTTCCTTTGGCTCTTTTAAATAAAACAACAACAAAAATTTATGTAATTACCCGCAATTTTAAATCTTCCATAGCAATTATCAATATTTTTATTTTTTGTTTTTATTTACTCAATAACGAACAGTTGAATGGAAAGCAATAGAAAAATACTAAAAGCAAGGAAGAAATTATATTCGACTGATATCGAAATGTTAATATCCGCCATTCGATTGGTTAAAAAACGGAGTTTTCAAAAATAAATAATTAAGTAAATGAACAACAAAGATAATAAACATATCTACGAATAATATGCCTATAACAATCGGTCAATAATTCGCGGGACGAAGTAAAAAAAATCTTTTTTCTTCAAAATCTGCTATTATTCCTCAAGAGTGATACAATTCATCGAACGCTCCAGTAATCTGCAAAATGCGGTTTAGTTTCTACAATGATAGTATTTGATACAAAGCTTTTCACTTGGAGTACCGTTTCAAGACTTGCAAATTAGATAGCAGAAGCTGGGGGCCAGATGTGAGCAATCCGACGAGCGGAGCAGGAAGTAAAATTTCATTTCGTTCAATTTTGCCATCGTAGACTGCGAGTTGGGGCCGCGTGCCCTTGCTACATTTTTTATAAGCAGGGTATCCATTTAAAAACAGCTCTCTTCTGCCCGACATTTGCATGCAAAATAGTGAATAAACTACCCTTTGGCCTCGTTAGGACGTCAGCTATCTCTTGCAACTCCAGGTTTCAATTATTGACGATAACATTCTGGCTCTTTTCACTGGCGTTCAGCCTCATCCTTAAAGTCGACAAACCACCAAGAAACTATCGTTGTCAGCGAAGAATAATAACCACAAGACTTTTTTCAAATCAAAGCTGAATTTGGGCGGTGTGCTTTCCCATCAAACAGCAAAGTTTAATCGAAACGCGAAAGTCGAATATTTTGCACTGCTTTGAAAACGAGAAAAGCTGTGTCTTTAAAACCGCCGTAAGTTTCAAAGAAATCATTAAAAAATACTTATGAAGTTTAGTAGGCTTAGTGGTTTGTTGTGACTGGCTCTCCAAAAAAAAAATTTCGAATGTTTGTTAGTGACGACATCTAAGTGTTTTATTCCAAGAATTATTGGCTCACGTATTTTTTTTTTTGTAATATGCCCAAACATTCATGGGATGGCCCCTATTCATTTAACACTGTTTTTGTCAGAAAGAAGAGAGGAATGACACAGAAATAGGTGTGTGCCCAATCAATAAATGTTATGCGTTTGTCTACCGAGCTCTCACCACAGCTATGACTAAAAGACTCTACCGCACTTGAGATTTGAATCCGCAAGGACTGACTTGAGCATATGATATCGGCTTAAAACATGACTATCTATCATATACGATAATTGTATATACAAATTTTCGATGTTTAAAACTGTAAGAGGCGCAACACATCACTCAGGAAATAAAGACGGCATTGCCCTGTACTGCCGAAAAAACATACGTAATATATTTACACACTGTTTGACTATACTCGCCAAGCGATTTATATTGAACTTATCAAATTTTTGCAAACCATAGAAATGTAAATCGGAAACTCGAAAGACATTTATTTCATACTTGATTAACGTAAAGGGCGGGATCGTCTCAGTCATGTCTTATTGTTTGCCAGTTCATCTCTAAAAGTCACCAATACGATCTCAAGATTTTGTTTAGCCCGATAGACGAGCTCCCAAATCTTCTTTCAGTACTCTAGTCAGATTATGCTTGAAAAAATAAAGCCGAACACAGACTATATAGATACTGTACAATTACCTATAAAGTGTTCTCGATTTGTACCAAAATACGATTTAAAATACGTACGGAATGGAGACATCTTCTTTGCGTCAGCGTTATTAAATTCAACCTAAAACGAATGCAATTTCTTTCTTGTTTATATAACATTTTTTCACAATTGTGGATGAGCGTGCGGTTTGCTTTAACTGATTTTTATATAGGATGTTTGCAGTAAAAAAAAAAGCTTGAGATCAAACTCCCTGCTGCAAACTAATTTCTAATTTAAAGAAGGGAAAATCAATACCGAAGAAGACCTAGTGAGCGGCTTAGTAAAAAAGAGTGAAGAAAAAAAGATACGAAAACATATTTATTCTTTTCATAGAGGTTTTGATGTGGAACAGACATAAAAACATTTACATATACAATTCTTACATCCACTACGGTTATATATGTAAATTATGGCATCTCCGACACACGCTCTATTCATTACAATCGAAAAATGTATTATGTCTTCAGTGTTAGATGCAGAGGAACAGCAGGAACATTGCGCTATCATTATTTTGATCCCTAAAAATTCTTTTGGAAAAAATTTTGTTTACAATCAACAAAGAAATTCTTTAAAAGTATTTCAAATTAATGTTTCAGCACGATACATAGCGGCTCAACTAAACAAACTAATAATATAGCGTTCGCTAAATGTTATGACTATAATTACAAAAAATGAAAAGAAACAAGAAAAAAGGAACGGAATAAGTAAATAAAATAAAACAAAAATGCATCGAACAATAGCTGAGGATATTTTAGACAAAATTTACTATAACTACAATTACGTCTCTGACTATCTGTGACGTGAATGTTTTAGCGAAAATTCAAGGTGAAATTTTATTTATTTTATTTACATATATAAACATTCTTTTACCAATAATAAACATTGTTTATAGATCATTTGAAGTTTATCTGAAATTAACAAAAAAAAAACAAAAACAATATATACATACATATGTATATATATATATATATATATGCATATCTAAATACGAATAATACGTGTCTTTACTTCGATTAAAATAATTGACAAAAATAGATCTTAAATAGCCACCTCACTCATTTTATTCACTAAACACTATCAATAGCGTATTGGCGCCCAATGCCAAACTTTGAATGTGTTATTGAAACATGTATTGCTTCTCGTTTGATAGAGTAAATCATGGCCTACTTATCTTTAAACTTATTTTATACAGTTGTATGTTCCTTGTTCCTTTCGCTTTAGCGAAAAGAGGCATAGTTCTATTTGGCTTTCCATAACGAAGTTACCTGGTCCTCCTCGCCTTCGTTTTACTCACAAATAATCTACCATCCGTGGTTCAGCAGTCACGTATTTTTATATATGTCGACAATGTCAAACTGTCTCTTTCATCTGACACATGAACAAACTCTGTCTAAAGCAAAATTTAGAAGCTTTAGTGGGTTGGAGTAGAGCAAAGGTTATGCCTCTTAGTAGATGTAAAAAATTATTATTTTGTAAGACCTCACCTTTCATCCGCATATAAGTTTAGCTGTAAATAAAGTCAGGCATAATCTAGGATTTATTAAAAAAGTCGTCTCGAGAATTTTGCGACCTTCACATAACTGGAAGTTGGTTAGGCCAACACACTAAAATATACATTGAGAGTTTGGTCTCCAAGTTATGAATATCGAACTGATATAATGCGGTGCGTCTGGAAAGAAATTCTTATTTTTGTGTCACAAAGGCTAGGATGGAAGCTCACTGGTATTTTGATTTGATATGATAGCCCGGTGATTTTTTTTGATGTAGATCGAGCACTCAACACATGTTCGCTTTCCGCAACATGGCAACACGGTAACGGTTGTGAGGTGACAGCCGCAATCTAGTAGGTATGCGTCCAGTCGGTAAGTGTTATGCCATCACCAATTGAGCACCTAGTATATTTGCGACCAAAATGAACTCTACCGCATTTAAAATTTGAAACACTGACTTGGTATTTGCGATTCGTACCTATCAGCTACTCGTACGGATCCATCGATTGGTCAATCTTTGAAGTTTTCATACACAGGTCTTGCATTTGAAGTTGTCTTTGTTACTAAACTAGCAACTAGAATACATATATTTTCGATCAGCATCATATTTTAAATCGATTTAACCATGTCCGTCTGTCCGTTTGTGTAATGTCTGTTGCAAACATTCTCATGGCCGCAAAAAATGAAGCTATCGACTATAAATGTGGCAGAAAATTTGAAGTGCTAGAACACGGTTTGGTATAGAAAATAAGCCAAATCGGTTGAAGGACACGCGTACAGAATCACGTAAACTGAGAATACCTCTGTCTTTCAAAAAAAATAAAAAATTACTTTTTTGCTTATAAGCTATAGCAGATAAATGTACAAGAATTTGAACGCATATTCTATGGATGATGCTGTAATGCTTGTAGAAAAATGGAAAAAATTGATCACACATAGCCAATATGATAGTGCATCAAAATTTAATCATTAGACCGCCTCTCACAAAGTAACGGCTTGATGATAATGTTTCAATATACCGTTATGAAAATCCCACGTTTGACAAAATGAGTTTTTATCTGTCGACGCAGATGAAGACTGGCGAAAAGATTAACAGCAATTCGCAGAACATAACTTGCTTGGAATACACAAGTCAAGAGAGTTGGATCGTTGTACTCAAACGGACCAGATTAGACGAGGTATTGTGCATATAAGTTCTTATTAACAATTTGTAAATAGATTTCCTCAAAATTGTACGAAAAACCTATGCTATCCTAAAAATTACAATTCAATGGATGAATATTTAAAATTATATTTATGCATATTGTAGGAATATCATTCAGTTGTTTCGAAATTAAGTGTGAAATTCCTTTAAAATACTTATATAGTAGTTTAGGGAACCACATTTTAAGATTTAAACAAACCGATTATTTTGCGGATTTTTTCACATATTCTACCACATGATTGAAATCACTCGACGACTGAACGACGA